CCCCTATTCCAGAAGAGGAGAAATACCGACATCTTGAAAGAGCTGAACACTAAAGAAGATTGGCTAATAAATGGCATCCTGTCTCGGAAGCTGAAATATTTCGGTCATATCAAGCGCCACGACGGATTAAACAAAATAATAGCAGAAGGCACGGTACCAAGAAGGAGGGGCAGTGGCCAACCAACATGAAGGTGGGGTGACTTCTTGAGAATGAAAGTACATGAAGCGGAAGAGCTGGTGAGAGACTGAGTTTCTTTCTGTGTGATGAGAGCGACGTTCTGCAAAGGACCTGCTACATGATGATGATGATCCCAGATAGTTTTAACATTAGGCCACTCTACAACTGAAAATTGTGGGTAGGTTTTGCAACCTTTAAATGAAAAGAGGCCTTTTTCCTCACCAGCTGACTACATATTTTAAAATCAGAAATAGGATCTTTACTTTTTTTTTTAACTTAACATTTACCAAGTATCTCAGGGTGTTGAAAAGGGTCCTTTATTTATTTAACTTGTACAGCTCTTAGGTCAGCCTCACCAGATAATTGCCATTGTTTTATGGGAAGTTAAAAACAAGGAAGACAATTTACAGTGTCACCCAAGTGAATGTGTAAGAGACAGAGCATGACCGACTCCAGCTGACGTTACTGGGTCTGGCTAATGATGCATTAAAGTAGCGGTTCTTAAACAAGAAATAAACTATTGTTGACAGTGGCGAGGGAAGACAACCTAAATTTTAACTTTTAAGTATCTACACGCATTCTTTAACAATTTTTTAGCCGCCTCTTCTTGATTCACGGCATACGCATACAGCACCCCAGTTTGGCATGGCACCGAGTTTGAGAACTGCTGCATTAACAGATCATTAGCCCGACCCGGTGACGTCAGTAAGTAGCATGGCTCATCAGCTGGAGCCGGTCGTGGATAGAGAATGTCTGGTTTTTTTTCCAGAATATGTAAAAGTAAACTAAGTGAAGGACCCTTTTCCACGCTTTTAGGTATATTTGGCGTATAATGCTAGAACTATATTGTATAGACCAATTGGCGCTCGGTGGATGATGTGGTCATCATCATGCCAGCCACATTATCTTCCCAGGATTTTGCCTGGTACACACTCAATTTTGGATCGATCTGGGAGCCAAGGGCCATTTTTTAAAAGATCGGGCTCTGTTCAGATTTGAACCCCATGACCATAGACGAGCGCCTAGCTATTATAGCTTCCTTTCCAGAGTATGACTTTGAAGTGTCTTTGCATTTTCATATATTATCCCCCACAGTTATTTCCAGCAATAGCGTGCTTTGGGTTTATAAAGTCTTGTGGTCAAAAGATTCATATTTAGACACATAGTACTTAACTTGATTAGAAACAGGTGATTCAAGTTGTTGACTTCTGATGCTTAAATACAGACCATGGGTTTACTTAACTTTCTGTAATAGTTTGATGGGGCATATATGACATCAGTGCCAAACATAGACAATGAATAGGGTACTGGTACAGAAAATAACTACACATGAAATGCTCTGTCTCAGCAAGGTCACTAACAACACTAGACGAGACAGGGTTAAGAATATCAGCATTAGAGAGAAAGTTGGAATAAGACCATGTCTTGATTATACTGACAAAGAATGAAATGGTTCGGCATCTAGTGAGAATGCAGCCAGACCAGACTGCATATGAGACTTTTTACAGTAGAACATCTGGGAGGAAAACCAAGAAAGACATGGATAAATGGTGTAGTTGAAACCTGCAAAAAGATGAACAAATCCATCACTGAAGCCACCCAAGAAGCGCAAGACAAATACAGTAAACCACAACACTGGGCTACAGCCGGGCATCAGTAAGATGACAAAAGAAAAGAAGACAGTGACTTTAATGATAATAAATTACTTTAGCCTTGAACTGTTAAAACTCTCAGGCTGCTTGTCAGATCACTGTTGATCAAATATTCCATTAATAAATCTTGTTATTCTTATGTTGATTTTGTTCTTTATTATTTAAAATACTTGTATCATTGTTGATGTGATTGAATCAAGTTAAACACTGATATTGAGATGGCTATTGACACCTCAGAAACAGTATTGACCTTGAATAGCTTAATTTGGGTTTTCCCCCCACTAATAATTCAATGTCCACTTGAAGACGGTGTTAGATGTATGTTAATAAACCATTTTCCATTCTTGGGTGTCTATTGTCTTCTTCACTTTTACCGGGTTGCAGCCCAGTGTCGTGGTTTAAAATATTTGTTTTGTGCCTCTCGCGTGATTTGAGTGACAGTTTTCTGGATCTTCTGGCCGTATTCAGCTACTCCATCTATCCATTTTTTCCTGGGTCTTCCTCTGGCCTTTCTTCCTGATGATCTACTGTAAAAGGCCTTATAGGCAATCTGATCCGGTTGCATTCTTACTAAATGGCCAAACCACTTCATTCTCTGTCTTTCAATATTCTTGGGTGTGCTGGGTATATAATACAAGACTATATTTTATAGACCAATAGGTAGGTGATGTGGTCAACATAATACTGACCACCTTTACTTTTCAGTTCTTCGATAGAATCATGTAGGGCTCCAACCATCAGTACCCTCTTTATGTTGCTGTTGACACATAAGGTATGCAGAAGAGATCATTGCTACTTCCTAGCACTTTACCTGATACTGACTTTAGGCCAGGTTGACATGGAAGTCGTTTAATTTTTGAAAACAAATCTGGCTTGATGTGAATTAGAAACCACAACCTTCAGATCCGCAGGTGAGCATTCAGCCATTTCACCACAGTAGCTTCCATATACCTTATTATATCTGCTTCTTCGTGTTCACCTGCTGTAAACTCCAGTGAAAAGTTCTGGTTTTTCATCCACCTCTGGACTGCAGTCCTATTCCAGAACCTGAGTGTTGTATGTGCATCCGTTTGACAGATCTAATTCGTATGCAGACTGCTGGTTCCTTGCCTCTTAGGCAGACGCACTCCAACTTTGAAGGAAGCTCCCAATTAGTCAACTCTAACGACATGCTATTGGGTAGGCAGTGGGTCTATTCTTTTTTTTCCCTATAATAGGGCCCCGGAATCCACATGGGGTCCTTATTATATTATTATTAAAATTATTTGGGTTTGTTCCAGAACCCGATGGTAGAAACATCTACAGAGAGAGCAAACTGAAGTCTGGGAATTACATTTGACAGGAGCCTGTCACTTAAGGACCATGTGGAGTGTTGTGACGAGATGCCAAAAAGGACTTAGTGCACTTAAGACTATGGCTGCAATTAACATAGAGCAGAGAATGCTTTTCACACTATATCAGCACCTGATCCTGTCAGTGGTTGATTATGGCCTGGGACTGCTTACCGTCTCAAAGTCAGATGGACAAATTAGAGCGCATACAGAATGCGGGTCATTCTGGGTTGCACAACAGTGGTGTGTGTGCGATACATCCTTGGTTTGCCGACGGTTGCAGGTAGGAACAAGGTGCTGCAAGCGAAGTCATATCTCAGGGTAGCTGCAGACACAGACCACCCTCTGCATGAAGATCTGGGTGCAGTTAAGGGTCAGCAGCTGATAAGAGGGAGGTAATGGATGGCTCAGGCAGAAGAAACAGACAGGTTTGCATCCTTGAGAACATTAGGTGAGGAGAGGAGTGGGTCAAATTGCCACCTGAACAGTCAGACTTGTGTAGGGTCATAATCACGCTGAGCCGGGAATGCAGAGACTGGCCAGCAGGTGCCACGGAGGTGGAAATTCAGCAATTAGTTCAAGATAATGCTGGCTTAGAGGATTTGATCATTTACACGGTTTAGTGTCAAGAGGCAAAAGAAGTGCTCGGGGTTTCTTAGCAAAAGTTAATGGTCGGCGTTTGGTGCAGGAGAGCCTAGCATATGATACCACAACATCCAGCTTAAGAATGGAGGAGGCGACGGTCACTGCAGCTTTCTGCTGGCTAGAGAAAACGACACACATCGTGACTGTAACTGACTCGACTCAGAAAGCATGCTGAGGAAGATCAGAACAGGTATGATTCGTGCAGAGTGGCATGCTTTGCTGCGGAGGACACAGGTGAGGAGTATTGTCTGTATTTATTCACCGGTGTGTTGGGAAATGAACAGGCAGACAGACTGGCTCTGCACGACTTGGTGGAATACTGATACATAAGGCAGCGGTGGTTAGTGCCTTGTGGGAGAGCGCGTACATTTTGGAGGAGCAGATGGATTACCAGTCTGGTGAGATTGATGCAGCGGGGAGTGACGAGAGGTTCTGGCAGATGCTTGAGGCTCAGAGGAAAGGCAAGACCTTTTAAGACGTTACATTTAATCAGAATGCTTCTGGTACCATTAGTATCGGAATTCTTCGCTGACTGCTGAAGATGGGGACGGAGCGCTTATGGGAATGCCCTGAGTGCTGTGATGTCGGATCTTGAATCAAATAAAATCATTCTCGGGCAGATGCACTGCAACCTTGAAGGTAACACCACTAATTGTCTTGTACGAAATGTTTTTTTTTAGGGAGACAATAGGTCTATTATCACCCACCCCCAGAGCAAAATTTTGAGTTGGGCTTACATCAACTTAACACATTTCACCCCTGCCACTTAGATCAATCCTTAATTTTGGACAGATTTGTTCAGGAATCGAAATTGTACACAATCTGAGGTAATGCTTTTAATTAAAACAGAATATCAAACAAACAAACAAACACACAAAAAAAACACCAGACAAGGCTAAAGACAAAAAAAAGAGCACATTTGTAATTGATTTATATTTGTCTTTAATTGCTAACACATTCTCAAACAGTTACACTTTTATGCTTGGAATATCAGACTCATGGGTCTACATTCCTTATTAAACAACAAAAATGTGGCAAATCCTTGAATTCAAATATGTTTGTCTGCCTTTATCTTAACTAGCAGATCTCTTTCAGTGCCAAACTAACTTCTATCTAATTTAGTTAACGAAGTGAGTGTTAACAATAAACTACAGAAAAATAAAACAGCCTCTTTCGGTCGCATGCTTCTGGAGTTCAGTGATACTTGCAGTGCCTGTGGTAGCCTGTGGGAAACAAGAAAAACACAGACATGTATAAAACAATACACACTGAAATTTTGTGAACTTCTGATGTGACTGAAATATGTTGAACTAATTATTTTGTATGTGTTTGGGAGCAGTGAAACAGTATTTTGTAATCTGCTGACATGATACAGATGTGTAAAACATATTCTGTGAATTAAAGTTTACCTATATTTGAAAAAGAAAAAAAATGCTGTCCCCACAATGGAAGTTGGCTGCATTGTATACTATGCACTGTTGATTGTGGGAAGAATATATAGTGAGACCCAAATCTCTTCCTTGATGCCTCCCCATATTTGAAAGAAGAAACAGTCTTTTTCTAAAAAAATCGAACCGTGGTAAACTAAAAAAATGCATCGTGGAACCATTTTACTAACATATAAGCCAGAGACATGCACCTGTATCATATAAGGTTGTCCCAACAAGATGGAAGTTGGCTGCATTGTATACTATGCACTGTTGATTGTGGGAAGAATATATATAGTGAGACCCAAATCTCTCCCTTGATGCAGCTCCCACACAACAGTTTGAAAGCCATCAAACAGTCTTTTTTTAAACAACCAACCACAGAAGTCAAACCGTGGTAAACATAAAAAAAATACATTGTGGAAACATTTCACTAAAATATAAGCCAGAGACATGCACCTGTATCATATAAGGTTGTCCCAACAAGTTCATAGAACAGTTTACTAAATCTGGAACTGATTCAATCGCGTAAATGATAGTTTTATACAAAAGTAGTGAAGCAGCTTTGCTCATCTAGCCCACCACATACCCTGAACTGAAGCGATGGCAGTCTGTGTTGTGCAGGTGAAACTACCAGGTAACACACACTTATTGTCACACACACACAATTGTGGAAATGTTTTAAACTCTGTATGTTGATAGTCAAACAAGTTGCCCCTAATATAAATCACCACACTAGTGTTACTTTCTCTACCTATATATAAGTAAAAGAACATATTTGTATACTGTGGGGTGAATCAGACCTGTGGGTAATACATCTCCAGTCACTTTTGCTTCCCAGAAAATTTCCAGATGTCCATTTTGCATGGAAGCCTAGACCAATTTAACAAATGTGCCTAGATGGAATTTCAAACCACGAAGACATCATACAGGAAGGATATGTAAAAGACCATCTCCAGGTCTGATTTCATCATCATCCCGTAAAACCGCGCGTCATTGGGCCACCAGTTGCTGTTGACTGACCGGACAGGCTCCCGCCACCTCTGATGGTCGCATACAATAAACTCCATGGGTGCATGCCTCATGCATGCTTGGTCTCCAGGTCTTTCTTGGTCTGCTTCTTCTCCTACTGAGCCCTGCAATATTATTTTTTTTTTAAACCATTAGACCTTATAAAATGTCCACACCATTATATTTTCCATATTTTCACCGTAGTTAAATTCAAAGAGGCTCACAGTTGCCAGTATGCCGGGTAACTAAATGGTGAACCTCATCATTTGTGATGCGATGAGGTCCAATTTACCCCCTTATATGATTGGACAAAAGAAAAACAAGAAGGACCAGTTAAAACATATAATGTGTACCAAGGCTGGAAACACAATGGTCAAGGTCAACTTACTCCTGTCCTTGTACATCACTAAAAAGTAGTATGCAGACGAGAGCATGATAATGTGACCTATTGGAGCAAATCCTGGACTCCTGGCATTCATCCAACGTCCAGACCAGTTCCAGAAAGCTGATGAGGGAAAAACAATGATCAAATATAAATACCGTGCACCGAATACTGTGAATCGTCTTGTGCACAATAAATTGTGTGTGTGTGTGTGTTCAAAATAACTTTTGGAAAGCCACTTTTCTCTGTTAAATGGTGGAGCAATATGATTGGTCTAAAAATGCCCCGAATCAAAAACCACTGTATAGATATTTCAGTTTGTATTTACCTGTAACTAAGTGGTCTACTGGTTATACAATCAGATGACTATCCGCACCATCAGGATTAGAACTCTGTGCTAACTAATGAAGATGGAGGCAGAGGGTTTATCAGAATGTACCAAGTGATATGATGCTTGTTCTCAACTCAACTCTTATGTAGTTTATCTTTATTATTCACTCTGTTCAAATCTGAATCTAGCTTAACTGAACGCTATGAAAGGTTGGTGGGTGGGGGTATTAAAACTAAAACTTTTTTTAACTAACTGGTCCGAGCACATCATCTGTTTATTATTAGTTCACCCCCGTGTGGGTTCCGGGGTCCCATTGTGGGGAAAACAAGAATAGACCCACTGCCTCACCAAAAGCATGACGTAAGAGTCAACTAATTGGGAAGCTTCCTTTGAAGTTGGAGTGCATCTCTTGGAGAGGCAAGGAACCAACAGTCTGTATTCAAGAGAATGAGATCTGTAAAACTGATGCACACGCAACACTCAGGTTCTGGAGCAGGACTGCAGTTCAGTAGTGGACGAGCAACCAGAACTTTCCGCCAGAGTGTACAGCTGGTGAACGCGAAGAAGAAGAAGATTAATAGTTTACTGCTGAAGCTGTCAATCAATCAGGTATACTTTACATAAAGCAGAATGGCTATAACAGAACTCCAAAACTGTCCTACGACAGCACATGATGAGAAAACTGTTTGCCCGTCTCTTGATTTTATCCTCCCAATAAGAATGGTATTTCTTTTAATGCTGTCAACATATTTCACTTGCTCTTCTTTTTCATTCAACTCCTTTCATCCATCTCGTCAGAATCCATGTATCTGAGCTGTTGTTTCTATTAAAAATGATATATTCTCTCTAAATTTAAAAACAGTTAAAAAATATATGTTCTTTGGAAGATATCCAATACCATATCTCATTTTTTTAAAACTTACTTCTATGTATAGCGCCCCACACGGCAGTTGGGGTGAACTTCCGCCTGCTAATCCAACCTCCAAGGTCACCAATTTTCACATCACCGAACGGCACATCAGCTAGTGGAAGTTTCAAATAATTAACAGCAGAAAAACATACTAGTAGCTGTGACAAAAAGCATGCAATTTTAATCTCAAATGCTGATATGTGGGTCTCGGCGGCCCCATTATGGGAGACAAGAAGACCCAGGCCACTGCCCCTTCATAAGCATGCCATAAAAGACAGCTACTTAATGGTTTGCTGAAATAAGACGTAAGCCAAAAGGCACAGATATTACAGCTGAGTTTCAAACCACAACACAATGTGCCAAATGAATAAGAAATGCTACTACTGTAGGAAAGTCTTGCTGAATGCTTTATTTAAATAACAGAGTTGCCAAGAAGAATAAAATAATCTTCTTGTAGCAATACTTCTGTAGAGCACTGATCTAAACATTAACACAGCCTGCCTGAATAACTCAAGCTTTCTGAAGTTTCCAAATCTCCTGTATGTATTATCAAGCCCTAGGATAAACTGATACTGGAGGGATAAGAGAGAGATAGAGAAGCAACAAGGACATTTATAATCTTTATATGTTCCACCACTGATCACTGGCATCATGAAGGCTAATTGAAATGGTGGGGGGGGGGGGGGGGGGGGCATATAGACATAATAGCAGATGACAGAGAGGTAAAAGTTAAGCTTTGTATGCAAGGGGGCTGAATGGCTGTAGACTATGAGGCAGACCTAAAACCACTTGGGAGTCATGAAATAGAAAAACTGGTCCAAACACAGAAATAAATGGAGGCAAGTGATGCCTGCAGCAATGAACCTCAAGGGCTCTGAATTCAAAAGGATAAATTATAGTAGTCATTTTTTTATGCTCATTAACCAGCTTGTGTTGTGCAGATAACAGACTAAAATTGTTTCATAGATTTTGCTATTTTAACTTCAAACACAGGTACTTTAGTAACTTTTGCTGAAAGGTAACAATTATAAATCTGCTAAAGGGTTAATTTGGCAACATTAGTAATAATAATCTTTTTTTTCCCCTACTTCACCATCTGAGCCCTTGAGGTTTACTGCTGCAGATATCACCCGTCTCTGCAGCTGGCTTTCTCTTACAAGTTATTGCCCCCCCCCCCCCCCCCAGTATTTGTAAGTCGGCCCGTGTATTATCTTTCTTTCTTCTTGCTATGCCTCAAGGTCTACTCTTTAGCCTGAATCACATGAACTGCTATGCCAAACACAGTGAGGGATATACGTTTTAGTTTCTTCTTCTCAGTGTTGACTAGCTGCATTCTATAACTAAGCTCCAGAGTTCTGATTGTTTAAACACATTTAGACTTTGGTCCTGTTCCAAAACGTGTGCACTTCTAGTTTTTTTTTTTAAGAAAGTCTGGTTTATTTGTATGCAGACTGTTGGTTTTGGCTCCTTGCCTCAGGCAGATGCACACTGACCTTGAAAGAAACAGTCAACACTCAAGTAATAGGCTTGATTATTCAGCTTTTATAAATTATAATAAAGTGCTTGTTAAGGGACATTGCGTCTTAGCGTCTATTTCTCTCTTTCTTCCTTCAAAAAAAAAAAAAAAAAAAAAAATAGGTCTAGGAACCCACAATAGAGAATTTTAATATAAGTGTTGACGGGAACACAGCATCTTGGCTTAACTCTTAATCTTGAGACCAGAATTTGCGAGGACAGAATGTCAATTCAAATTTACAAGTATTAAATTAATGTTTTTAAACTGCCATTGTGCTACACTCGATAAGAAACAGAAGCAAAAACAAGTCAAAAAATGCCTGAAAATTGCAATTACAGGGTTCAACTTGGAAATGTAAAAAATGAAACCTACGACTGAAGTGAATGATGCCAGACCGGAATGAACTGACTGACTGATCCAAAGAAGCTCCTCGATCAACGAGTTTTTAAAGTAAAAAAAAGACTGTTATACCGAAACTGACATTTGTAACTATGAGAAAATAACTTACGCTTTCCATAGTAACGGCCAGGATGGTATGGCCCGTGTACTTTAGGATTGTACTCTTTGGGATACTTTCCTGGCTCGTAGGTCATCTTGCTCAAGTTCACAAATCTGAGGCGACGGAAGCACGAAAGCGCTCCTTTCACGCATGCGCGCAATAGAATGACAGGAAACTGAAGTCGCTCTTGTTTATGAAAGTTAGAGAAAATAAAATGTTTACTGATTATTTTCGCGGATCAGCAGAAGATGGACAGGGACTGAATTTTGTGATCGATCAGATGCTGTTTTATGCTGAACTTTCACAACTACATTTGGAAAAATTGTTGTCAAGTAAAAACTGTTTCTTTAAAATAAAATAATTTAATAACAGTACTGTGACTCAGCTTTCTGTTGAAACTTGTAAATCTACAAATAAGAAAATATTGTTGGTAGTGAAGTGTCCAAATGAAAGTTCAGTTCAGTTAAAATTAAATAAAGTTAAAGAAGTCTTCACATCACACATTCTTAATCTTGTATTCCAGGTATTTAAATTTTTATCGTTTAAATAATGATTAATAGCAAATGATAATTATGTCGGTGTTAATGAAATGATAGTACACATAATGATATTTTTTATTTAAAACATTGTAAACTTTTATTTAAGGTGATGGTGATACTACAAGTTGGTAACTCTTCCAAATACGGGTCCCAAATTATTTACTGCCGAAAAACATCCCTTTGAGAGCCTCAAGAGGTTATGTAGTAAAACCTTTAGGCCATTATCATCAGTTTCCACTCCTGGCCTTATTGCTCGATGGATAGCAATATTTAGATGTTACGCTAGGCGCTTTAGTAGGGAATAGTTTTCGATCAATAAAAGGGTCGTGGGGAAGAATAGATTTGATCCATTATTTGAAGCATCATAAGGAGAGGAGTAGTTTTCGATCCATTAAAGCGTTGTGGGAAGGAATGGTTTTTGATCCATTGTTCACATTACCCTTGTGGATTCCAGGGCCACATTTTTTAGAGGGAAAAAAAAGAATAGACCTACTGCCACCTAAAAAGCATGTTGTAAAAGGCGACTAATAAGGACTCTGCTGAAATCGGATGTGTTGAGGCAAAAGGCACAGATATCGCAGCCTAGCTGTAAACCACAACACAACGTACCAACCACCCTGACATGTTGGTTCAAATGAAAATATAAAAATTTGAAGCATAGTTTATAGTGTTCCTATTCCAGATTTTTAAATATATGACCTTTTGAGGCCCTGAATGGATTTTTTAACTGAATAGTTTGGGACCGGTATTCGGAAGAGTGCTTACAAGTTGTAATATATACAAATTAATTTTTTTCTATGTTCACAAACGAATCTCTAATTGATAACGAGTAATTGACCCCAAATATCTGATGGTAATTAATTGGAGTATTGCAAGTTAGCATAATAACTATGTCACAGAACAGATCACCCAAGTCAGATGAAATCAAGGTCAGACATTTAAAATACTTTGCAAAAGAGACCCAACTCCTTCTTAAACAATGTGCTGGAGTGATCAGAGGAAAACAGTACGACAAGCTATGGACAGGAAGTCACCTGTCAATATGCACCATGGCGGCACGGTAAGAAAGATATGAGAATTTGTGGAGATAGAACTCAGTCATGCCTGAAGAAAATTAAATCATTAATAATTAAAACATTAATAAGTTATTTTAATATGACTTTCTGAAACGTGCGCCCCCGATGCCGAGAAGCATAGGTCCCTTTTCCACGTGCGATCAGGTGCCAAAACGAGTGCAGCTTAAAATAAATTTCAATGCCATCGGGCCAAATGTGGTAGAAAAGTCAGAGATCAATCCCAACGATGAAACAGGAAACCTATAACATTAACAATCATCTTCAATGCGTCCAAACGGGAGTTAAATGCTGAAGGCCATGTGTACGGTATCCAAAAGTCTATTGACAAACACTTTGACCTAAAATGAGAAAATGTGCAAATAACATAAATAAATGGTGAAGACTCACCAAATTACTCTAATCACTCGCTACCGCACGCACACTCATCTAGAGAAATTCAAATGACATCTTCAAACAACTTCTTATGGGTCAACAGTATGACCTTGAGAGTCCAGATGGTCACATCGATCTCCACTTCTGCAGTCTGAACAGGGCAATGTCCCTCCTTAGTGATTTGGCCATGAGATCCCTTAGTTTTAAATATACTGGCTTCCTGCCCAGCGCAATAATCAATGTACCATCTGAGATTCTACGTGGAATCCCGGGTAAAACTTCCTCAAGGATCTACAGACACGACCACACGTCTGTCTCCTTCAAACTAATACTCTGAATCCTATAGATTCCAATTCCCTAACAACATTATGTATTGTTTTGATGTCCTATTTGCTCAGTCAGTATCGGTGTTTCAGTGCATATCCGCATGCAACACTTTCATTTTATAAAACATTTTCAGCAACTTCTTGATCTTGCAGTAATAGTAAAATATTATGCAGCTCTTTCCAGTGCTTTTTCTATTCTTTTTTTTTTTTCTTTTTTTCTATTTATGCTTCTGTGAACTCCTGCAGAAAGTCCTGGTTGTCCATCCATGTCTATACTTTAGTCTTGAGTGTTGTGTGTACATCCGTTTTATAGTGGCTTATTTGTGGGTGGACTGATGTTTCATTGATTGCCAGCAGATGCTCTTCAGCTTTAAAGGAAGTGTCAGTCCTTTATACACTAGCCGGGCTTCTGGTATGGAAACTGTTTCCTAAATGACCACAAGGAGATGCAGATGGGTTGTGATCAGTCTTGGTGCATTACTGTAGGTTGTGGTTCACCTCTGCACTCAAGGTGCTTCCAAGAAATATAAAACTTTATGCAGCTCATTGTGATAATAATAGAATATTATGCACTCTTTCCAGACAAAGGCAGTTTTTGGAGCAGCATCCTGTTTCATACAACACACAAACTAACACCTGCTAATGATCATGGAAAGACAACATTATAAACCTAGCAAGTCAGCAAACCCAGAGGAGTCAGCTTCTGATGGGAAAGAAGGTGGTCCCTCAAATGATGTTAATACAGTCAGAGCAACTAGCGATGCTTTCCGAGTTGACACAGGGCTTATTCCACAAGGTGCTTTAGACGAACAGGGGTCTTCAGAACTTCAAGAACTTGGGTTAACAGTCTTTAACCAAGATGTGTTTGAACAAGGTTTGTGTCTCAGCTTTTCCAAATTTATTCACTGATACAAAATATATGTCATTTGCTTATAAAGCGATTAATTGTTTTCTCTTTTTTTTTTTAAATTATCTCCCCAATAGAGTTTATGAAGCTGCCTGGGTCTTGCAGCTAGATGCCTGGGTCTTGCAGCTAGATGCCTGGGTCTTGCAGCTAGATGCCTGGGTCTTGCAGTTAGATGCCTGGGTTTTGCAGCTAGATGCCTGGGTCTTGCAGCTAGATGCCTGGGTCTTGCAGCTAGATGCCTGTGTCTTGCAGCTAGATGCCTGTGTCTTGCAGCTAGATGCCTGGGTCTTGCAGTTAGATGCCTGGGTCTTGCAGTTAGATGTCTGGGTCTTGCAGCCAGATGCCTGGGTCTTGCAGCTAGATGCCTGGGTCTTGCAGCTAGATGCCTGGGTCTTGCAGCTAGATGCCTGGGTCTTGCAGCTAGATGCCTGGGTCTTGCAGCTAGATGCCTGTGTCTTGCAGCTAGATGCCTGGGTCTTGCAGCTAGATGCCTGTGTCTTGCAGCTAGATGCCTGGGTCTTGCAGCTAGATGCCTGGGTCTTGCAGCTAGATGCCTGGGTCTTGCAGCTAGATGCCTGGGTCTTGCAGCTAGATGCCTGTGTCTTGCAGCTAGATGCCTGGGTCTTGCAGCTAGATGCCTGGGTCTTGCAGCTAGATGCCTGCCTATATCGTCGGTTCAGGTCCTAACAGAGTCAGACTCTTTTAAAAACCTGACCTTGATTCCCAGGTTTGACCCAGCCTTGATTGGGTGCCAGGTCAAGTCCTGTGAAGTCAAGGTGACCGGCATTATGCTGACCATATCACCCGTCACTTGCCAATTGATCTTAAAAAAGTAGGTCTAGCCCTGTATGCCTAATAAGCCTGAAGGCATGGAAAAAGATCCACTGCTAACTAGGGAAATATAATGTGATGAGACAGTCCTTAATCTCTTCAATGCTGCGATTCTCATATGACTTAATGTGATGAGACAGTCCTTAATCTCTTCAATGCTGCGATTCTCATATGACTATCTGACAGCCACACAGTCTTTTTCTAAACAAGTCACTGCAATAATAGAACCCAGATGAACTTCCAGGATTGCATCGTGAAACCATTTCATTAGCCTCTAAGCCACAGAGCCACACTTGTTGCAAAAAGAAAATGTATTTACAATTAGCATAAGCTGCGCCTTATTTTTTAAATATTGTAAGGCAAAGGACCTGTCACTATGCCAAATGCAAATTTGGTATATGGTTCTTATTTTGTTTTCTTCTTCTTTCACTGGCTGAAAGTTCTGGTTGTTCATCCACCTCTGGACTAGTCTTTTTCCATAACTTCATTGTTGCATGTACATCAATTTTAAGAATCTGACTTATTGTTGGTTCCTTGCCTCTCAGGCAGATGCAGTGAGACTTTGAAGCTACCCACCCCCCTGCCAGTTAGTCAGCTCTTTGACTCTTATGACATGCTTGTTGGGGAGACATACATTTACATGCATGTGAATGTTTCAACGGCTACAGGCTGTATGAGATCAATTTTATATAGTTTATAGCTGTTGAAAAACTCACTTTCACAACTGTTAGTGAATTCCTTTGGTTTAATACTTCTACAGTCTTACTTTTTAGGTATTGTTTTTATTGTTTATTTCAGGCATCATTGATCAAGTTGATCATGCCCTGGCCAAAGAGGAAGAAATTAGACTCAAGAATGTTTTGATGAGGGAGCTGACAGCTATAAATGATGATATTCTGTGAGTTGTACTGTTTCATTACTTTATATATTTATGTTGCTTATGTAACAACAAATGAGATGATTTGGCCACCTGACAAGAATGCCCTGGTACCAACAGCCGCAGAGAGCCACACTAAAGAAATATAATGAACAAAGAGCAAGGGGAAGACCACACAAGTAATAGAGCAACCTAACAGAAATGAACACCAACTTGTACAGTGCATTGAAAAAAGCACACAAATGATTCTTACATCTCCCCCCAGCACCTCACTGAGGTAAATGGTGGAAGAGAACGAGAAGAAGAAGGTATTGCTTATGTTACTTTACTGCTGGAACCAACAAGGCCGAAGAAAAAAAGGAGGCCCCCAAACACACACACACACACACAAAAGAAAAAGCGAATTAGAGACAGAAAGAAAAATAACAGGAGATGTAGTGGGCTGCACTTGATGGTAAAAGATCACATGACTCAATGCTTTCAGCCAAAAAACACTTGTAAAAAAATAATACAGGAATCTGTAGGAATTTCTAGAAAAAATCCTGTCAAAAAGATTTAAAAACCAAAAAAAAAAAGAACCCATTTGACACAGGTCACTGAACAATATTTTAAAATTTATTTATCTACATTACAAATGTCTTGCCGAAAAATATTTAGAGAGTAATCAGTAAATCCCAAAAGTGAAAGACCTGTAGTAATAGATAATGTTGGTTTGGAAACCTCGGATGGAAATGTAGTGGTTGAAATCAAGCAGAGAATTGCAAAGGCAGATGCTGCTTACAACATTTCTTTAGAGTGTCTGGAGATCAAACATATACAGCGCTAAAACTCAACTCAGGATATACAAAACATGCATTAGGACAGTTATCCTCTATGGAGCAGCAACTTGGAAAATAGACAGAAAGAGAGTGAGAGCATGCTCAGAGGTGTTGAGGGAAGACTTCTCAGTAAATTATTGGGGTTCGCATGGAAAGATAAATTCAGCAGTTCTAGATTACAACAGTTGACAGACTTAGAAGATGTAAATTTAGAAATCAAAATATGAAGATGGAGGTGGATTGGACGCAATGTAATGGACACCACAAGGACAGCGAGGAAGAAACAGGTCTAGAGACACTTGGAAGTGAACCTTTGAGACTGAACTCAAGGCTATGCAAAGGACAAAACTGGAGATAGGATGGCTTAGGGTTGAATTGAGTGGCAGCCATTTGTCTCTGCCTTGTGTGCCTCTGGGCCTGATGAGGATTGGTTGAATCAATAAATATGAACACAATTAAGCGTTAAATGGATTACATTTCCCTAGGCATTACACATATATATTAGGTGACTCATTCCATGACCTTACGATTTTCAGAATTTTGACACTAATACCAGGAGCAAATTATAACAACAGAATGGCTTGGTGAAAGCCGTTGTGTTCACAAGAGAACCCTTCTGAATGCTAATTTTTTGTAAATATATTGATATCCGGGCCTCCTACGCATTGCACAAGTACAAACAAAACCCAGCACCCTTAACTAGACTTCCCAGGTACGAGTCACTGCTGCTGTGTCGGTCAAGCGGCATTTATGGGAATGAGTCAGAAACAGAAACGCCAGGTTCTCATCTTTTTGGGGCAGCAGGATTTATAAAGCATATTTGGGAGTCTGTGCTCAGCGGGGATGAAGGGAAAAAGATAGAAGAAATTTAAAAAAAAAAAGGAAATATATCCCCAAACATTTGTTTTATTTGGAGGTTCTCCATTGAGGTGGGATGAAGCTGTTTGCCTTGCGCTACGAAGGTTGCGGCTTGTCATTCAACGGAAAGAAACAGAGTGGGATCAAACCCGGTGCAATGAAGTAGATCTTGTCAACTTTAACCTTTAGTTTTATTGATTGTTTAGCCTTCCTTACTATTAGTTTACACTGATTATGGTGACGGAAAACTCACAATCAGGTTGACAGGTTAATTGGTGAATTTGCTCGAAGACTGAGGTTTAATTCTTATGTCTAAATCATCCATGTTCCTGTAATTGAGGCTTTGAAAAAAGAGGTTTACATCTGTCTGACTAAAATGCCAAAGAAAAAAATTGTTAAATACATGACACAGCCTCTCATAAGAGGCATTCATGATCTGGTAATCTGGTAATTTTAATTTCAGCTTCATAGCAAACGGGTCACCCCATCCTTGCTCCGCTCCTGTGCCAACGAAAAACACACAGAATGTTTATCACAGTCCCTTTTGGAAAGACTGACAAACTGCTCTCTCAGCAAATCCAGCATACACTCGCATTAAAAGCATATGGTAGCCATCCGATACATGATCTAGGATGATAGTCATTTTGTAAGATAGCAAACTGTGACCACCTACACTTATCAGCATGGGACAAAGGTGGTGAGGATTTTAAATCTCCTACTGACAGTCATGACTTTCCTCAACCCTAACGCTCTAAAGCTATTTACTAATTCACTAGAATTTTTTTTTTTTTTTCATGGAACTGTCTTATAGACTTTCAGTTTTTGTTCCCTCTTATACTAGTGTTACCAGTATAGTCAAATACAAGGCCAGACAATTAAGTAATGAGACTAATTCCATAAAAATTTTAAAAAATCAACAGTTGAAGATATAACCTGTATTTTCTTCAAAGTAAGCCTCTTATGCATTGATACATTGAGTGGCACGATTTAACAAACACTGGAACGACCACTGTAGTTCTTCTACTGTTATGGCCCTTAAAGTTGATGTTACAGCCCTTTGGATGTCATCAAATAAGCGTCCTTTCAATGACAAATTTAATTTTGGGAATAGAAAATAGTCACAGGTAAACAAATCTGGAGAATAGGGTGGATGGTTGAGAACACACATCTGTTTTGGGCCAACCAATCCTGTATAACTACCACCCTTTGAGCTGGTGCATTGTCATGAAGAAGGAAAAAATTGCCACATGTTGAATACAAACCGACTAGCAACTTTATTTCTTGCCCAAATCTTGCACTAAAATTTTACGAATAGTCTCAGTATTAACACAAAATTCGTCTACCATCATCCTCACATTCGAACAGAGATCTTTCTTGTATCCGTTCTTGGAATTTTATAATGAGTTCCTCATTACAAACAGAAATTTGGCATCCAGGTCTAGATGCATTAGTAATCATTTCCACACTACTTTTGAATCGTGAATACCAGCTGAAATTCTGTGCACGAGATAAACAATTATCCCCAGAAACTTGTCGCATCAGTTTAACTATCGCAAATGGTGCTTTTTCTGAGTTTAAACGGAATTTAATATTAGCTTTTTTTTGTGTGTGTGTGTGCTCCATGCTGAATACGCAACAATGCACCTCTGACTAGATTAACAAAATGGTGGCTTATTTGTTGTCTGCTTATCGGGCGGCGATGAAAAGTTGCCAGATCATAGACGAAGGTTGCCTCTTTGGATTCCATGCTTTGATTCATAGATGGAATTGTTGTTTTGGCCATAATAAAATCAGTCTCATTACTTAATTGTCAGATCTTGTATTGTTGTTATCTTATCCTTAGGCTTGCTAAAAAGGATCTTGACAGAGCCAATGAAGCAGAGGCTAAAATTGAAAACATTTCTGACCGTAACAGAGACCTCCAGAGACAGCTTGAATCTATTAGAAAACAAAAAGAAAATAAGGTATTGTATTCAATATCGTCTGTGCCCTTTATTTTTAGAAGTTGACACACTTATCATATATTGAATTATTTGTCTCATTACTCTCTGGACAAGTTCATAGGTGCTTTAATCCTAATACATTTCATTGTTTTTGCAGTCTAGACACTACTGCTGTTTCGCACCTAGTAAACTTGTTCCTGTTTGTGGTGCCCACAGGAGAAATGACAAAAATAGTAACACTGTTAACTCACCAATAATTGTAAAGAGAAAAAGAGTGTTAGAGTGATATATAGAACCTGTATTGTTATCTGAATGTGAGACATGGACAGTAAGGATACGAGCTGGAAAATAGTAGCAGTGGAGATGTGGTTTTTGAGAAGAATGTAAAGAATATCATGGGATGATAGAAAAGTGATCCTTTAAATTTATTTATCATGTTATTTCAATAGTGTGTCTGGTCAGGTCAGTGTCTTTGTCCTGCCCATGGCCTGTGGTCAGACCAGTTAGGTCAGTGTCTTTGTCCTGCCTATGGCTTGTGGTCAGGCCAGTAACTCTTTCACTACCAGTCTGTTATTTCAGTAGTTTGTCTGGTTAGGTCAGTGTTTTTGTCCTGCCCTTGACTTGTGATCAGGCCAGTTAGGTCAGTGTCTTTGTCCTGCACATGACTTGTGGTCAGGCCAGTTAGGTCAGTGTCTTTGTCCTGCCCATGACTTGTGGTCAGGCCAGTTAGGTCAGTGTTTTTGTCCTGCCAATGACTTGTGGTCAGGCCAGTTAGGTCAGTGTCTTTGTCCTGCACATGACTTGTGGTCAGGCCAGTTAGGTCAGTGTTTTTGTCCTGCCAATGACTTGTGGTCAGGCCAGTTAGGTCAGTGTCTTTGTCCTGCACATGACTTGTGGTCAGGCCAGTTAGGTCAGTGTTTTTGTCCTGCACATGACTTGTGGTCAGGCCAGTTAGGTCAGTGTTTTTGTCCTGCCCATGACTTGTGGTCAGGCCAGTTAGGTCAGTGTTTTTGTCCTGCACATGACTTGTGGTCAGGCCAGTTAGGTCAGTGTCTTTGTCCTGCACATGACTTGTGGTCAGGCCAGTTAGGTCAGTGTCTTCGTCCTGCCCATGACTTGTGGTCAGGCAAGTTAGGTCAGTGTCTTTGTCCTGCCCATGGCCTGTAGTCAGGCCAGTAACTCTTTCACTACCAGTCTGTTATTTCAGTAGTTTGTCTGGTTAGGTCAGTGTTTTTGTCCTGCCCTTGACTTGTGGTCAGGCCAGTTAGGTCAGTGTCTTTGTTCTGCTCATGACTTGTGGTCAGGCCAGTTAGGTCAGTGACTTTGTCCTGCCTATGGCTTGTGGTCAGGCCAGTAACTCTTTCACTACCAGTCTATTATTTCAGTAGTGTGTCTGGTTAGGTCAGTGTCTTTGTCCTGCCCATGGCTTGTGGTCAGGCCAATAACTCTTTCACTACCAGTCTATTATTTCAGTAGTGTGTCTGGTTAGGTCAGTGTCTTTGTCCTGCCCATGACTTGTGGTCAGGCCAATAACTCTTTTACTACCAGTCTATTATTTCAGTAGTGTGTCTGGTTAGTGTCTTTGTCCTGTCCATGACTTGTGGTCAGGCCAGTTAGGTCAGTGTCTTTGTTCTGCTCGTGACTTGTGGTCAGGCCAGTTAGGTCAGTGTCTTTGTTCTGCTCGTGACTTGTGGTCAGGCCAGTTAGGCCAGTGTCTTTGTTCTGCTCGTGACTTGTGGTCAGGCCAGTTAGGTCAGTGTCTTTGTCCTGCCCATGGCTTGTGGTCCGGCCAATAACTCTTTCACTACCAGCCTATTATTGTTTCAATGGCAAAATTTGAGTTTTGTCTGCACATCTTTTTGACATATCTGGCTTATTTGTGTGCAGATTGTTGGTTCTTTGCCTGTCAAGCAAATATTCTCTGAATTTAAAAAAGCACCCCTAATTAGTTGCCTTGTATGTGAGTCTTCTGGGGGGGGGGGCAGTAGTTTCTCCCTCCCTACAATGGGGCCCCAAAACCTACATGGAAGGGATTATTTAACTCCTTCTATTCCTAGAAGTTCTAGGTTAAATGTTTGTGTCCAAATAGTTAATTAATAATATGCATGAGTGTTTCAAGGTGAATTTTGTGAAATTTTAGCAACAGAAGTGAAGTACCTGTTTAGGCGATAAACAAAAACAAAATTAGAAATGATGACATCGGATGGTTATACAGTATTGGCATATTGAACTCACTGTGTTTTGTGATTCGTGCCTTGTCTGCTCCGTAAGCGGCCGTCCTCCGTAGTAGCGACCGTTATGGCAAGACGCTTGTGATTCTTCTTAATGACTTGAAAGTACATCAATGTAATTTAGAGCAGAAGCACAGGTAGCCATCCTCCCTAGGAATAGTGGCAGTAGATTCTCAAATGTACTTGACAGTATAATGTGTTTAGTAATAGTTTCTAAATTGTGTCCAAAATCTTTCTGCTTTGGTTCATTTTGTTTCCTACTTCTGTTGTGGTAACAGATTAAACAGCTGAGAACCCTCAGTGTCCGCCGTGAGAATGTGGGGAAGAAGCTTGCTTGGTTTGATCGTTCAACGCCAGAAACAGCAGAAGATGAAGAAGGTTTTGTATCTATAGTAGTGTTATATGTGATGTTAACCCTAGCAGAAGTTCATGTCATCTCGTCTTCATTCTCATTAAGAGCCTCGCCAGCTGGAATATTAAACCTCACCTCTCCACAAATCACCTTTTTAAGTTACATTTGACTACTAAAGATTGATGCAACAGTGACTCCCCCCCCCCCCCCCCCCCCCCCCCCCCCCCCCCCCCCCCACCTTTTTTTTTCTTTCAGCAATTTAAGTATTATTTGACTTCATCTACATTTCTCTAAGAAGGGAAGCTAGAAGGGGCAAAAGCTTTACTCACTCATGACTTGCCAGTGGTTATAGCACAGTTGTACTGTAGGGTTGTATTTTACTTTCCCAAGACTCATGTACTTTCAGTCTAGTCTGGTCTGGTAGTCTTAGTTTCAGCTTCATAGCAAACGGGTCACCCCATCTTTGCTCCGCTCCTGTGCCAACGAAAAACACACAGAATGTCCATTTTGACCGGCTACTTTCAGTAGCCACCACATCTATTTCTCTTTGAATACTATGACTAGCTTCCACAGCTTTGCCCTCCACCTCTCAGTGGTTGCACACTGTAGTGAAATAGACTCTTTTTCTAGGAGTATAGTATGTGGTGTGTGTGTGTGTGCTTGCGCACGCACATTATGGATCACAGCAACAGATGTGGAATGAACCCCTTTTTATAATATGATATCCCCCGTGTGGGTTCCGGGGCCCTTTTGTGGGGAAAACAAGAATAGACCAACTGCCTCCCCAAAAGCATGTCGTAAGAGTCGACTAACTGGGGAGCTTCCTTTGAAGTCGGAGTGCATCTGCCTGAGAGGCAGGGAACCAGCAGTCTGCATTCAATTGAATTAGATCTGTAAAACTGATGCACACGCAACACTCAGGTTCTGGAGCAGGACTGCAGTCCAGAAGTGGGCGAACAACCAGAACTTTACGCCAGAGTGTACAGCTGGTGAACGCCAAGAAGAAGAAAATAATATGATATAAATGAATAGCAGTTCCTTAGAGCAGAGGTTTCCAAGCTGTGGTGTGTCCGCTGCAGTTTGAATATGTGTTGCACGAAAGTATGTTTGTTTCTCTAATGGGGGCTAGTTCAACATATGATTTGCCTACTGTGTCATAAAATTCTGTTTATTTTAAAAGTGTGTCACCAGCATGAAAGGTTTTGAAAGCTCTGCCTTTGAGTGTGTTGGAAGCTTCTAAAGTCTTTTGTTCCCACACCTGTAGCTATCAAACCTTGTGTAACCTATAGTACTGCTTATGATTTTATTGTATTGTCAAACTAATTAAGCAAGCTATCCACCTTCCACCACACATGTCTACTTAGAATTATCAAAATGTTCTGGCCAGATACAATCTTAAACACTAAACTACTTCAAGTCACAAACCAAGAAACGCTAGACAGTATGTTAACCAGGAGAAGAAGGAAATGGCTTGGCCACGTTATAAGAATGAATCCTGATATACCTACCAAAACAGCTCTCACATGGATACCAGAGGGAAAGAGAAAAATGGGACACCCAAAAACAACATAAAGATGAATGATGGAAAGTGACACGAGTGCGGCATCTCTGACAAGAAAAAAGGCACTGAAGATTGCACAGGACAGGAAAGAATGCAGTCCTTTCTGAAGCCTCATGTGCCACTAGGCATAAGAAGAACTGAAATGAAACTAATTAAGAACATAGAAGTCATATGTTTATGGAGGAATATGATCATCCACCCAGCATGGCACAGGGTTATAATTAAAGAGAATCTTATAATATTGCACTGTCTGGTGTTTTAAAAAGTCATTTAGTTGCCAAGCTACATTTTATAACATATTTGCTTGCTCACCGTTTTTTTAAAGCTTCTATCAATGGCCATTTCAAAGAGTTGTCTTTTCAAATACAACAGTTTCCCATGTGGGATCCGGGGTTCTATCATGAGGGGGGGGGGGGAAGACCCACAGCCTACCCAAAAGCATGTCGTAAGAGTCAACTAATTGGGAGCTTCCTTTGAAGTGGGAGTACATCTGCCTTCAAAGCAAGTAACCAGCAGTCTGCACACAAATGAGTCAGATCTGTAAAATGGATGCACATGCAACACTGAGGTTCTGGAACATGACTGCAGTACAAAGTGGATGAACAACAAGAACTTTCGCTAGAGTTTACAGCTGGCAAATGCGAAGAAGAAGAACAGTACTAGAAATCATTTTCTCTGTAGCTTGGTGTTTTCAAGATGTCATTGTTCAACCCCCCCACCTCTTTCCGTTACACATGAAGCTAATGATCAACATGGGCTGTCCTTGACTTATGCTGGGAGAGACTGAGCATTGATGGGCACAAGTTTAGCATTGTTGATTCTTCATAAATCTTCTATCTGTAGTAGTTTATTTTAAATGTTTTGATTTTGTTCATAGTTTTTTGGTTAGATCTTTATGTTTCAGAGTTTGCATTATACAGTCTCGGAGTGACCTGTATTACTTTGTTTACAGCTGAACACACAGTTGATGAGGCATTTAATGTTGGTGCAAAACCAAAGAAGGAAACCGAACGAGAGCGTATGATTCGTACAGGAGAAATGACACCCTTTGGAACGCTAGTGAAGGTTAACACACAGCAGTCATCATCTAAGCAAATTCACCTTTCAGATTTTGAAAAGCTGTTTGTAGCAAAGGAGTCCACTCAGAAAAAAGTTCAAAAAGATTTCAGTAAATATTTAAAACAAAGGACTGCTAGGGCATCCAATGCAAAGAAAGCCAAACTTGATGATAGCCATGAAGAGAGCTCCAGCAAGTCTTCAGTGAAACTCAGAAAGACAGAAAAGTTTGATGAGAAGGATAAACACAGCAGTGGACAAGAAGCAGGCCACAGTCTGCCCAAAAGAAAGCGAAATGCAGGTTCCCAGAGTCAGCCTGAGCAAAACGAAATGACTGATGGTGAAGACTTTGAGAGGTATTAATTTTAGTGACTTAATTTGTTAAGAATTTGCTTATATGATTGAAAATATCTGTTCAGCTAACAAATAATAATATAAAAATTTCAACAACAAAAAATAATTTCTGCCCAAATGGGGATTAAACATGTGACCAACGAACAGAGACAAAAAGAACATGTTGGCCACTATGCCACTGTAACTGTTGAGTAGATGTGTGTATATTTTAATATGCCAGTGTCTGTGGCTTAGGAATTATAAAGATGCTTCATAATGCAGACATTCCGAGTTCGATCACAGCTGCAGGCCATTTGGCAGCAGACCATCTTGTGTTGGTTTCAGCAGTGGTGTTAAGAGCCGCCCGTTCAGGAACTGCTGAACGAAACTAATTAATTCAAGATATGTTTTATAACATTACAGGATATTACAGAACCAACCCAAGTCTGTTTTGGCTATTTTTGATTTTACTAGGCAGTTTTAGGTTCAGCAGTTTGTCATTGTTTGCTAAATGGTCAGTTCTTGATACTACTGTCAAAACCTGTGCAAAACGGTCTGCTGCCAAAACCCCTGCAGCTGGAACCGAATGGGGCACCTCTGAATTTAGGTGTTCACAACGTCTAAACCACTGATACCGATGTATTGAAACAGACACACATTTATTTAAACAGTTACAGTAGCGTAGCGGCTAACATGTTTGTTTGGTGGTCATGTGTTTGAATCCTCATTGTGGCGAGGATTGTAAAACAAATATACCTGCGCTTACAGATTGACCCGATTGAAACGATTACTGGTTAATTTCCTGGAAAGTAAAGGCACAAATGTGATAGTGATCACATTATTCATTGAGTGCTGACTGGTATTAAAAAAATTTGTGGGTTTAATGTAGCATTATAAACTTGGACATCTGAAGATGTGGGAGGGGTCCATTGCCTATTTTTAACAGTAGAAGTGGCACAGATGCATGCTTCCTCTTACATGTCATCATGATCCATTTTGTGGTTGAGGGTCAAGTCAAGAAATGACCATGAAGAGGGCACAGAACCTATCAACAACACGGGAGACATGATATGCAGATAAGCCCGTACAGATGATTAAATCATTTTCATTCGGGGAAGAAACATGGAAAAGATGGTTATAAGATGGTTATGACTTCTTTTGGCCATGATATAGCGGATATAATCCAGCTGGTAGACAGTATTCAGCATTAATTAAAAGTTAGTAGCCATCAAGCTCAGGGAGTCAGATAGAAAAAAGGAACAAGTATTTGACAACAGACCGCTTTGCATTGATTTTGACAGTGAGTTTGAGCGCTGACTGTTTAGGAAGCAGTGGGAAACTGCTGAGTGCAAAATTGCCTCATAAAGTCACAGGCAGCCAAAAATGTTGAGGTTGGTTCTGCAACATCCTGCAAAGAATATGCAACAACAAAAAACAATAGTTTAAACCAAGACAGAAAACTTAAACAAGATATTCAGATTAAAAAGCATGTTGGTAACTATTCATTTTCTCTTTCTGCTGTACTTCTGTGATTTTGATGAACTTTCAACATTGAATTTGTTTTTGTAATTATAATCAGGGATGCGGAGGAGATTGAGGATGAGGAAGATGAATATCATCCTAGCAAAGATGAATTACAGGATGAGTTTTCAGATGATGAGGAATATGCAGGTATAAACAGAAAGGAGCGCTGAGGCCATTTATAATACATATCATTTATTGAGAATTGTATAATGTCTGTTATGTTAAACTGCATTTGCAGCCTAAAATATTACACATACAAGCAAGAAGTCTTCTTCATCTTTGATCCTTCTGTCAGAAAATTTGTATCAGGAGGCCGGTAACCTTGATGAAAGCTATCATGCAGTTAATATCTTCCTATGTACTGTACACGTTTGTCTTCATTGAGGCTGAAACAGGATCCCACAGTTTGTAAGCATTAGAGCATTCCTTGAACAGAAGATGTAAAAGTAAAGAACCCTTTTGCACCCTTTGAGGCCTGTGGAACATATGGTGCTAGTGCATTTTCAGACCAGTCAACACTCACTGGCTGATGTGGTTGATATTATTTTGTCCTTTTTTTCCCCAGAATATTTTTATGTGTGTGGCTAGGTTGACCCAGAAGCCCAAAATCAGTTTTTAAAATATACTAGTGAACAAATAGAAATTTGATGTGTTATTATCTATTGAATGCCATTTATGTGTGTGGGAGAGAGTGAGTGAGTTAGTTACCGATGTTCTTTAGCTTATATGATTAGAACCATTTGCTTGTAAGTATAGTTTCATAGCGACGTCTGTGACTTAGGCGTTGCGAGTCCGACTCGTAATCCAACGTACCGCGATCGAAACCCACTGCTCTCTGCGTGGATTTTTGTCATGGTATGGGGCGTCGCAGGTCAACCCACCTAAAATGGGTACCAGGATGGCTGTCCTGGGGAAGTAAAGATGGCCAGCGTAATGCTTACCACATTACCCATCCAGTGCCGATTGGTCTGTAAAAATATGGGATGCTCTGCCCATATAACCGATGCACCTTAGGCGTAATAAGGGATCTTTACTTTTTTTTTAATAGTTTCATTGAAGATATATTCATTATTATATGTTTATAGCCGTTAAAAAAAACTTGTTTACTGTTAATGTTTATCTTGCAAAGAGATTCCTATTCTGTAGATTTAGCTGTGCTGTTTTGCTAGCAAACAATGTGTCAGGTGTAAAAGTTAGCATTGTAGACGAATGACAAAAACACCCTTGACAGATAAAAAGAGTAATGAATCTTGAAAAAAAGAGACTCATGAAAAGAATTGATTGCCCACATCAGAGAGACAATCTACATTAGCATTATAGGTGAATGACGAGAACACCCTCGACAGATAAAGAGAGTAATGAAGATGTCTTAAAAGAAATTGAATCACGAAAAGAATTGATTGTCCAAATCAGAAGGAGACAATCTACAATAGCATTGTAGGTGAATGTCGAGACACCTTGGACAGATAAAAATGGTAATGAAGATGTCTTGAAAAAAATTGATTGCCCAAATCAGAAGGAGATAATCTACATTAGCATTATAGACAAATGACGAGAATACCCTGGACAGATAAAAATTAATAATGAAGATGTCTTGAAAGAAATTCACTCACAAAAAGAATTGAGAAAAGAAGGAGACAATCTACATTCTTTGTCCCTGTCATGAGAAGGAGAAAACTGGAGTACAACATGGCAGTGGAAAAGTTGGAGGGGCAAAGGGACAGAAAAGATGCTGGACAGTTTGACATTGCTGCATTCAAGATGATCTTTGTCAGAAATAATTGAGAGTACACAAGACAGAAGGTTGTGGAAACACATGACTACCAACACCATATGGCATGGACTATAAGAAGAAGACATACTAGAAGGTAACATTCATAATTAATTTTATCTATTCCTTTGTGATCTTAGATAATTCAGATGAAGATAATAATACACATGGGAAAAAGAAAAGCACACGTAGAAGAGGCTCCCTAAAGAGAAAGAAACCCAGACCATTACCGAAATACAGAGGTAACAGTGATGAGGACGAACCTTTGAGAACCAAAGTCAAAAGGGACAAGTCCATCAGACAAGAAAAAGATGATGCTGATGCTGAATCGTACCAGAAGAGGCTTTTTAGGTAGGATCATTTTTCAGCAATCTTTCTTTTACATCTTCATTTTTGTTTTTTGCATTCTTTTGTTTCATTTTTAAGCACCCAGCCTCTGCTACCTTTCTCTGTTTTTGTTTTCTGAATGTAGGGTTTTGTTTGTGTTATTTGTTGAAACTTGAAGATTTCATATTTGTGATTATTTGAGTTCAATTTTGTAGTAAAATTTTTTTTTTGTCATTCACAAAGAGTAGGAAATGTTTGCTTATAGTAAATACATCTGTCCTTTCACAGAATTTCCCATTTATATGTTTGTCTTCATTTGGTATTCAACATCAGCTTGACAGCAGTCTTTTCAGATTTTCACTGTACATGTTTGTTATGGGTGGACTTATTTTTCAATTTTTTAAATTTAGCCTGCGCAGTGGCCGGTTTAGCCTGCTCTAAATTATTTCATGCAACCTAGGGATTTTAAGCATGCACCCCCTTCACATGGGTCACCCTGTTTCTTTGCCTGTATCCGAGAAGGTTTGTTGTCTGATCTATTATACAGGGATAGGATGAGAGTGACACCATCAGATTTTATTTTTTTACACACTTTATAGAAAAGATTTAGATAAAAATGAATCTTCTTCTTCTTCTGGGTTCATCTGAAGATGTAATTGCGTTGTGTCAGTTTACAGCATGGCAGCGATATTTGCACCTTTCGGCCAACACATCCGACTTCTGCGGGCATTTGTTGACAGGGTTAGCCTTCCCGGTAGATAAAAGGAATGTACAGCATGACAAAGGAAGCATATAATCCATTAAAAAGCAACAGATGAGATGGTTGGTCTTTTGGTGAGAAAACCCTTTTACCAGCTGTCAAAGAGAGTCATGTCGAAGAAAAATAAAGAACACAGAAGAGGAAAAAGATTGAAACAATATGGAATGACAGCATTAAAAATATCTATAAAGAAATGATGACCGACCTATACGACTGATTAGAAACAGCACTCGGAAGATACTTCATCTCTCCCTTACACTTCACCAGTAAACTGCATGCAATAGTGAAGGATAGAATGACTTGGCGTGAGTTGGTTGAGGGCCTATGCTCCATTGGGGGCTAGATAAGCAGAAGAAGAAAAACACTTCACTGAGATAATGGTAGAAAAAGAAGAAGGATGTCTAAGAACTAAAAGTTTATAGTTTGTGTCAGTAGTCTTAAACCACGTGACAACACACGACATTGTTGTTTGTGAATAAAAACACCCGTACTGTTTACTCAAACAGGCAGCAGAAGCTAGATCAGTTGGAAGAGGGACAAGATGCTGACAGTGATAATGATCCAGAGGCTGAGTTTGATGGTGGGTTCCAGGTTCCCAGGAAACTGTGGAAAAAGTTATTCAAGTAAGTTGACATTATCGAATTAACTCTTTCGGTTCCAAACTATACACTGTGCACTGACTGGGTATTGTTCACATGTACTAATCAAAAGCAATGGCTAACTACTGAATGTAAAATTTTGCCTAGAAAAACCACAGCAGCAACAAAAATCCTGGTATTGGTTCTGAAAAGGATATGAAACTAACTATACTAATCAACATGTTATGTATATTTTTACCTTGTTTGTTTAATGAGGGGCTTTGAAGGACTCTGAAAACATATTTGTTTCCTGCAAGGGTTGTATATTTGACCCCTCTGGAAGTAGTATACCCATAAGTTTAGCATTGCCATTCTAAACTCCCTCTGACATTAGTTAGGATCTTGGACTGAAAGAATTAATGTCAGTTTGATGTTTCACAGATATTTATAGAAGAATAATCTCTTAATTTATCATCTCTGTGTTGATATCTTTATGCTTTCTTCTATATAGAAATAAAGTGTATCATCATTATACAGTATTTTCTGATGAAAAACCAGCTACTGAAAAACCCTTGAGGCCATCAGTTAGTGTGGCAAATAAATTCATAGCTATTGTTCAACACAATAAGTCTGTGGTTAAGCACCTGCAAGGAAATCAAAGTCAGAATTTTGAGATTCTGCATCTTCCCTGTAGCAACATATGTATGTGAGTCATGGACTGTCTTGCAGTCATTTATGAAGAATATAGAAGCTTTTGAGCTGAAATGCTTTAGAAAGTTTCTTAGAACACCATGGACCAAGGAGAAAAGAAATATTGATCCTGAAAGATCTAATGAAGGAAGATTGGCTAGTTAACAGCATCTTGTCTCATAAACTAAAATATTTTGGCCATATCACTATGGTGGATTCGAAGGAACAATAGCAGAATACATGGTGCCAGGAAAGAGGGACAGTGGCCAACCATCATGAAGATGGGCACAAGATATAAAAAAAACACCTTGGTAGGAAAAAACACAAGGTGGGAGAGCTGGCAAAAAATCGAGTTTCTTTCTCTAGGACACCCCCCCCCCCCCCCTTTCCCCCACAAACCTCCTAAAATTGACCATGGACAACACAGGGATTATGGTGTTTACTACTACTTCTTCTTATAGCCCAAGCTGTGTGGCGTTGGTAGTCATGTCTGTCCACAACCTTCTCTCTCATCTACTGTCAGTCAGTTCTGACACAAATGCTCTTCTTCTTCTTCCAGCATCTTCTCTCTTGGTCTCCCTCTGCTTCTTTTCTCCTCCAGCCTTCCCACCATCACTGCTACCACTAACAACTAGTATTCATTTTTTTAGTTACCAGAAAACTGGAGTCCGATGGTTGTGGGAGTTGCACTGTCAGCAGGCTGGAGGAATTGTGGGAGATGAGATGGGACTAGGTAAAACCATCCAGACTATTTCCTTTCTGGCTGCACTGAGAACCAGCAACGTGAGAAATGTCAACTTTCCGTAAGTCAACTATCTGTTATGTTTTCCCTTACTTTTAGGTATATTTGATTCCACCTGTGCATGTCTGTGTATTTGCGAATGCAATGGCAAAAGATAGAACGACTTGGCGTGAGTTGGTTGAGGGCCTATGCTCCATTGGGAGCTAGAAAGGCAGAAGAAGAAGAAAAGAACTGAACATCAGTGAAGATTGGCTAGTAAACAGCATCTTGTCTGAGAAACAGAAACTATTTGGTCATGTCAAGCACCACAGTAGATTGGAGGGGGGGGGGGGGGGAATAGAAGGCATGGTACCAGAAAAAGAGGCAGGGGAGATCAGCAAGAAGATGGGCACTAAATATAAATGACAAGTTGGGTAAAGAAATGCATGAGGCGGGAGAGCTGGTGAGAAACTGAGTTTCCTCTGAGCAGACCATGATGAGAGCGACGTTCTGCAAGAGACCTGCTACCTGATGACCCATATGTATGCAAGCACTCACATGCACAAAGAAGATACGAGAAACACACAGATAGGCAGTCTTACATCAACAAGACAATTTTTGTCATGTAGTTTTCATCTGTTGTGGTCCTCAGCTATAAAGGTTTAGGCCCCACCATCATCATATGCCCGACTACAGTGATGCATCAATGGCTGAAAGAGTTTCACAAATGGTGGCCAGATTTCCGGGTTGCCATTCTTCACTCTTCTGGTTCATTCACTGGTTCAGAGGTAAGTTTTGCTAGAGAATTTTCAGTTAAACCCTAATTGGAATGTAAAGTGTAACAGTCAAAATACTTACTGTAGTTTAAATGGCAAGAAAATGTTGAATAGGAAATGGCAGACATGCCGAGGATAAACAAATAAAGGCTTCATTTCTTGTAATCTGCATTCCCCATGTGGGTTTGGGGGGCCCCATGGTGGTGAAAACAAGAATAGACCCACTGCCTCCCTAAAAAGCATGTTGTGAGAGGCAACTAATTATCGCCTGAGATGCGAGAACCAACAGTCTGCATATAAATAAGCTAAATCTGTTAAACAGATGCGCACACAAAACTAAAGTTCTGGATCAAGACAAAAGTTCATGTGGTGGACGAACAACCAGAACTTTCCGCCAGAGTTTACAGCCGGTGAAAGCTAAGAAGAAGAAGAAGATCTGAAATTAGTTGTGCCAAGCTGGGAACAACACATTGAAGTTGAATATGAATGTATAGATAGACTTTCTGTCATTAACTGGCTAAATGACGATGAACTAGATGTGAAAGCATTTTGCATATTGCCTGTGACAAACTTGTTACGTCACACTGCAGTTGCAGTTACCAGAGTACTGTTACATGTTTTTGGATAAATGTGATTAATTGTGAAAGCATTTTTCATAAAGTTTTTATTTTTATTTTTTATTCTTACAGTCTGATTTAGTGCGTTCTATTGCAAAGAGTCAAGGCATTCTCATCACATCCTATAACACTTTGGTGATACACCAAGAGCTGGTGCTGCGGTTCAACTGGCATTATGTCATTCTTGATGAAGGCCATAAGATACGAAATCCTGATGCCAAGGTGACATTGTGTGCTAAGCAGGTAATGTGAAGAGCACTTCATCCCCTGAAGTCTTTTGTCAACAATTTCATCTGCAAATCTTTTGTTGTTGAAAATAGTATAATCTTTTTGTTGAAAATATAATCTTTTTGTTGAAAACTTCACTGTGTTGAATATCTTGTTGTTGAACATTTTAATAATTTCATATCTGTTATTATTGACTAATTTTGCAATGTAGTCATATGTTTCACTTGAAAAAAGGAGTTGTTAACCTGAGTACCTGATCTGTTAACTCTTTAGGTTCCGAGAAGTTATTTTTGTTAACTCATTAATTGTTAAGGATTTGCATCTACAAATTAATAGATATTGGATCTGAGTGAATTTAGGTAATAAACTTATTGAACAGAATGAGTCCAAATAATGTTTGGGTCAGTTTGGGTGATGTAACAAGAGTGGAAATGAAGAGTTAAAATAATTATATCACACATCCTTTTGCAATAAACTTGGTTTTGAAAGAGTTAACCCTTTCACCCTACGCTAAAGAAATGGGCTACGACCCTGAGGGAATTCTTGAAAGAATTCCCTTTTTTTTTCCACGAAGGTCAGTAATATGTGTTTAAAATGTTTTATATATTTATTTTGAATTATATAAAGCTATATAAATGAAGTAACCAATGAATATGAACAATGTAGTGAAACATTAAATGCATAACCTGACCCATAGCGATCAAGGACCTTTTCTGTATGGTTGAGGAGAAAGGAAAAAAAAACAACAGTCTCATCATTTGGATAATTTTCCAGAAATTATTGGAGAAAGAAAGGTTAAGAGAAAAGGAACTAGTTGTCATACCTCATGCAGTTACCTAGTAAACATGAATACTTAATAGTTCACACCCAGATTATAGTATCTGTCACCAGTTTGACTGATTATAGTAATGTTAAATGCCTACTGGCCCAAAAGTCTTGGGTTCAAATCTGCGTTGGAGCAGATTTGTAATAATTCTTTTTCTTAGCGTTCACCAGCTGTAGACTCTGATTGAAAGTCCTGGTTGTTTGACCACTTCTGGACTTTGGCCTTATTCTAGAATTTGAGGTTTGCTTGCACATCTGTTCTACAGATCTGGCTTATTTGTTTTGCAGACTGTTAGCTAGCTTCTTGCCTCTCAGGCAGATGTATTCTGACTTCGAAGGATACGTCCCTAATTAGTCACCTCCAATGACAAACTTGTAAGGAGACGGGTCTGTTCTTTGTTTTCCTAAAATAGGGCCCGGAACCCACACAGCGAATTTTTAATAATTGACTTCAAGCTGCCAATGGAAAAGCTTAAAATGGGTAAAAGGAGCGCTACCCCCTTCTAAGGTGTTTCAACCAGTGTTTGGCTTAGGTGTGTTTGTCACCAGTGTTTTCCTGTCATTAGCCTACAGTGTAGCCGTTGGAATCGAACCCTAGACACCTAGGTTCCTGACAACCATGATATGGAAGTAAGGGCAACTGGCATGATTTTGACATCATCCATTCATTTGTTGTTGATCTATAAAATAATGGGTTTAGCATCATTTGCCTAATGCGCTTATTGCATGAAAAGGACCTTTTACTTTTTAATTTAAAAAAAAATTATAACTTTATAGTTTAATGAAAACTTTGCTTGCATAAAAATTGTCCTAGATGATACAGGTTTCTACAGTTTAATCTGTGTTTTGTTTTGTTTTATCAGTTCCGCACACCACACCGCATCATTTTGTCAGGCTCCCCAATACAGAACAACCTGAAGGAATTGTGGTCGCTCTTTGATTTTGTGTTCCCTGGAAAGCTTGGCACATTGCCAGATTTTATGCAGCATTTTTCTATTCCTATTGTCCAAGGAGGCTATTCCAATGCTACACAGACACAGGTATCTACTCAGTTTTGGTCTTGATAAAACTGTCATTTGTCAGATTTATAAGTTCTGCTTGTGTAATTTGTTGGTGTAATTTTTAAATAATGTATTACAGAAAGTATTGTCATTTAAAAAAAAAAAACCAAAGTTTAAAAACAAAATTATTCAGTCTCCCCATTGACAATGGGGAGACTGAACTATGGGGGTGACTGCAGTCACCCCCATAGTTTCTCCCCATTGACAGTAGGACGCAGTGGGTATGAACATCAGGACCATTCAACTGGCAACCTGCGGACCAATTGGAGAACACAGTGACAACTGGAAAGATCAGTGGAAAAAGGGGTAGAGGCATACCAAGAGAGATGATGCTGGATGGGCTGAAACGATGGCATGGGGGGATATCATCAAGAGAGCTGATCCAGGCAACCAGGGATTGTGATCTGTGGAGACGCATGAGCGCCTACGCCAGTTGGCAGGGCACATGATGATGATGATGAGAGGCCTAGCAAGTGGCCCCCGGATCAGCTGTATTGTATTCATGATCTTTCTAGACTGGGGTTCGGGGCCCACGACGATTCAATTTTTCGAACATTTTAGCCCCCGGGTAAACTTAGCTGATGTACATTGTCACAGTTTTATATTGTGCCACATGTTGTAGCATCACTGATTCTTCATAACAAATGAAGTGGTTTGGACACCTAACAAGAATGCCCTGATACTATCTGCCACAGCAAGCCACACTAAAACGTTACAACAGGTATAGAGCAAGTGGAAGATCACGGAAAATATGGAGTGATGGCATTAAGAACAGCCTTACACAAATGAACTTCAGTCTTAATAGTGCTCTTGACACAGCTCATCAACAAACATTATATCTTCTCCCGACACTTCGATGAGGTACAAGGTGGAAGAGAAGAAGAAGAAAGAAGACTGATTCTTTTTAAAAGCGGATTTTCTGGCTACAAAAGCAAAAGCTATGGGAACACTCGTACAGGGCAAGGGAGACATTCTGAAGATCTAAAGACCATATATGAAAGACTGTTGACTGAAGACACAAGATTAGATGAAATAACATGTACAAGAATGTGTGAACGAGGAATTAATTGTGGAGCCAGCAAGGAGGGACATATGCGAGGAAAAGAGCGACGTTTGCTACGAGAACAGTAAGCATCTACACCTTAAGACATTTGGTGCGGGAGACGGAGCATCTATGGGTATGCCGGGTCTGCTATGGTGTCAATTCTTAAATCAGTAAATTTGTTTCGTTTTTATCTCTCGATTAAGTATAGACAGACCCTCAAACAGCATGCACCAAGCCTCTTTGAGACAGTGTTTATGTTTACAAGAATTCTGCAACTAAACTGTTTTCTGATGAGGTAATCAGTCTCACACCAACCCTCCTGAGTCATCTCTTATGACATGCAGATCAGAGGAGACAGACCCGAATGCTATCCTAACTGGCGACGAAGTCGTCTACCGGGGGACCTAGTCGCCGATGCACATGAATGTATGTGTCCATATCACTTATAAGGGGTTAGTAAACCACTGGTTTACTAGTAGTCTGAATTAATGTGTAGCAAAATTGTGTTTATCTAAAAGTGTATCACCAACATGACAAGTGTGGGAAAGCTCTGTTCTACATGTTTGTTGCTGTAGCAGTTGTCTTTTAAAGAGTTTATTTTAACTGCAGGTTGAGACAGCTTACAGATGTGCTTGTGTCCTCCGAGATACCATCAATCCATATCTCATCAGACGGATGAAATCGGATGTAAAGAAACATTTAGATCTTCCCAATAAAAATGAACAGGTAAACTTTCCAAGCAAAAAATAATTAGGACATGCAAAAATCAAAATGTGGTTTCATAAAGCTGACTTATACTTTATGTTCTCCAACCATGTTCTATGTTTTCTCTTCCCTGTCTTTTGCAGTCTTTTTTAAAATCTTTTGTTTTTAAGACTTACATTCAGCAATGGCGATTCACGTTCTGTCCGTACTTTTTGATGGGATCTTTCAGTTGTGAACCCACTGCATTAAGCTACATTAACCTATGTGTGTATTATGGATTATTTAAGGGCTTCTCAAGCCTTCTGCTCTTCCTATATCATACCTTTCCATGTCTTTGAATATGTTTACAGTAAGTGATAGTGTCATTTTTTTTACCCTTTGTTCAACAAAATCGGACATTTGATATCAAAACATTTTGTTTGAGAATGGAGGCAGAGGCATGTACTGCAGCCTTCCACTGGCTTGAGAACACCAGCTGCATCAACTTTCAGATTGTAACTCACAAAGCATGTTGCGAAAAACGAAGACAGAATACTCTGTGCGTTTTTATGTTTCAGTGATAGCTAAATTACATATCTGTGAAAATTATGGTACTTATGTAAAAGTAATAATTGATCATCTAGGTGCTGTTCTGTCGGCTGACAAATGAACAGAGGGATGTCTATCAAGAATACCTGGACTCCAGGGAATGCAATGACATCCTGCAGGGAAAGTTTCAGGTACTTCTGTTTCACTTACATGTGTTGTACAGAAATCTGCAGTTATGAAGACAAGATTTTTGTGGGTCTAGGATCTGGGTCATTTAATGAAAACCAGATAGTTGATTCACTGTTATCCCTGTTTGGGTTTTGAGGCCCCATTGCAGGGGAAGGAGGGGTTTGGGGAATAGACCCACTGCTTCCCTAACAAGCATATCGTAAGAGTCAACTAATGAGAGATTTTCTTTGAAGTCAGTTTGCATCTGCCTCAGAGACATGGAACCTGCACCTTTCATTTGTGCTACGGTTAAGTAATGGTATTCAGTTACGCCAGTAGCCAGTTTACATATGTGCTGGTGAAATACCTTATGTAATAAGTGCTGGTGTAATACCTTATGCAATAATTTTACGTGTGTATAGCAGCTTATCCTGACCAACTAATATCATCAATGACAGACTGCATTTCTGGTGTTAACTGTTGGCTTTTGTACCTCTACAACTGCTTTCTGCACTTACTGCATGCACATATTTCTAGACTGTGCCAGGACTCATCATTTGTTCACCAGTCTTTCAGATGGGAAAACCCACTGCGGGCTGCGTGGATTTTTATCGTGGTATGTGACGTCGCAGGTCGACCCAGCCTCAAATGGGTATCAGGATAGGGCTGTCCTGGGGAAGTAAAGACGGCCGGCGGAATGCTGACCACATTACCCACCGAGTGCCGATTGGTCTGTAAAAAATATGGGACGCTCTGCCCATATGCCCGATGCGCCTAAGGGCGTGTAAAGGGATCTTTACTTTTTTTTTAATTTTCAGATGGGACAGTGAGGAACATTTCATTTGATTTTTCACTGGCATAGGAATGGAGCAAGTATGGGATGACCCGATTGCAGTAAAGTTGAAATCCCAAGTGTGAGGACTAAGGCCTGACCAGCAGAGATGTGGTCAACATCATCTTCAAGTTCTAAGCTTGCTTTGATCTTGGCTCCCAGGTAAACCCAGCCGTAAATTGGTACCAGCCAGGTAGAGTCCTGGGAAGTAAATGCAGCTGCATGATGTTTACTACATCACCCATCATGGCCTGAGTAGTCTATAAAAATATAAATCTAGCCTTATATGCCTGATGTGCCACTGGCATGTAAAGAGACTTTTACTCACTTACTTTGCTGAGCATATTTGGTTGAGAGGTGATGAACCAGCAGTCTGCACACAGTAAACCGGATCCTTAAATTATAAGTTCATGCAATACTCATGGTCTGGAACAATATCAGAGTCCAGATACATATGACCAAAAAGAAATTCTACCTCTCCCCCTTCCCCTTTCTCCGCTGATGAATATAGAAGAAGAAATCATGTCAAGGCATGTGTCTGTCTTTTACAAATATGTTTGGAAACTGATGATTAGACATTTTTTCTGTCTGTTTGAAGGTATTTGCTGGTCTCATCACCTTACGCAAGATCTGCAATCACCCGGACTTATCCACAGGCGGCCCGCAGGTTTTCCAAGGGCAGGACATGCCAGATGAACCAGAGTGCCAATTTGGCTACTACAAACGCAGTGGGAAAATGATTGTGGTTGAGGCTTTGCTTCGGCTCTGGCATAAACAAAAGCACAGAGTGTTGCTGTTCACACAGAGCAAAGCAGTAAGTAAATTTGATCATTCTACTCAAACATTCTGGTAGCTGCTGTGGTGTAGCGGCTAGACCCTCGCCTGCGAATCCAAAGGTTGTGGGTTCAAATCTGGTGGAACCGGACTTTTAAAAAAAATGACCTTGCCTTCCAGGTCGACCCAGCCTTGAGTGGGTACCAGGTACAGTCCTGGAGAGTAAAGGTGACCGGTATGATGCTGACCACATCGCCCACCGAGTGCCAATTAATCTTTAAAATATAGTTCTAGCCCTATATGCCTAATGCACTACTTAACAAACAAGCAAAAAGAAGACAGAAACTCATAGCTACTGAAAGGAACAATCTGTAACAGCTTTGACATTCAAAATCTTTGTAATTTAATGGGAGAAACTGTTTACATTGCACGCAAGAATACCTTAGGGTTCAGCCAGTTAATTGACAGTTCTTTTGCATCCGGGTCATTGATAGTTGTTAGGCATTTGGGTTTTCCAGTCAGCTAATAAGAATGTGCTATCAGATAACAAATGCGTCTCCTTTTGTTTTAACAGTATACATATTTTAGTACATAAAAATAGAAGGACTGGGAGTGAATTCAGCCTTAAAACAGTGGATGGAAATGAGTGATTCAGTTTCTTCAGATACCAGGCTATCGATTAAGATGTCTATACCTCAGATATGGATTTTAAAAAAAATATCTTGTGTGTATGTTGAACACATTACAGATTTTTGAACAGCTATCCATGGCTTTATTAACCAGTTATATAGTTTTACATTAGTAGTGAAAAATGTTTACACAATTTTATAAGTAGTGCACACAGAAGATATAGTTCGACAGAGGTAATTAAAATTTGCAATATCTGTCTGCGCCTAAGTTATCTTTGATTATGTCTTTTTGTCTGTCTTGTCTGTAAAATATCTTTAAATAATGATTTATAAGCTTAGTATGCTATTGAGTATTTATTCCTAGATATGAAAAAAAAAGAATTGTAGCAACAGAAATGGCTGCAAAGAATTATTAGTGTGAGAAATGTAATGACATCAAGAACAAATGAACAGACTTTAATTTATAAGGGTTTAGAATTGGGCATGCAAGCTTCTTACATTCTGCTCTTTTTGCCTAACTCCTTTCATACCTTATTCCATTCAGCTGAAGATTTTGTCAGTCACTTTTTTTATCGTATAACAAACCTATTTCCAAAGTACTTCAGCTCTTTCGCCTTCATTTTAACATATGCTCTCAAATAACTCATGTCACTATTCTATCTTTTGCCATCTCTTGCACTTGCTCAGTTGTAAATCTTGGTCTCTAATTCTTTTCTCCTTGTGTTTTTGTGTATGTGTGTGTGTGTGGTAGTGCTCTTTCTCTTTTGCCCTGTGTATTCCAGTAAACATCACACTAGAAACAGAATTAACATGTAGGTGTAGCAGAAACAGAACATGTCAGATCCTGCAATTTGTTGGAATAGCAACAACAACAAAGCAGAGGAAATGAGCACTACCTTGCATGAAGATCACTCAGCTGCCATCTGTATAAATCTCTTCCTAACCTAAGACTGATATTAAAGGTATGCTGCTTTTAAAAAAAAATTAAACAGTTATTCAGTGGCGCTTTGCTACAAAAAAACAACAATGGCAGACAGACTGGCTGAAACTGCACTGCTGGGTGGTAAATTGATACTTGACAAGTTAGATGTAGTCAGAGCCCATTGGGAACATGTCACAAAGTCAGAAGAGAAACTAGATTATTATGGGCTAGAGAGAATGATTTGCCTGGGTGTGACCAGAGGGTTTGGCCAGCACACTACGCTCAGAGAAAAGGCAAGACGGAATACAACTAGACTTTGACGGCACCATTAGTACTGGAACTCTGCGCTGGCTGCAGAGGATAGGAACCGAGCATGTATGGGAATGCCCTGAGTGCTGTGATGTCAATTCTGGACTCAACACAACTTAACAAAAAACAGAATCAGTTATCTGATTGTGCTGTACTACTAAAAAAAAACGAAAGAAAAAATTAAAAGAAGCAGTTATTCAGTACTAAAAAAAGGGGGAACCGTAGCTACTGAAGTGAACATAATTTTGTAATAATTTTGACATACAAAATCTTTGTAGTTTAATGAATAAAATTGTTCAAATTGAACACAAAAATACCTGAAGGTTCAACTAGTTAACAATTCTTTTGCATCTGGTACCATCAGAAAACTATGTTTATTTTTATTTTTTGTTTTTAGCAGTATAGAATATTCAATTTTTTTTTGCATCTGGTCATAAACAGTTTTGAGGCATACAGGTTTTCTCATCAGCTCAAACGCTTTTTTTAATTTGTAACATTTTAGAAGAATAGAAGATATTGTCACTGAAATACACTCATAATTATCAACAAAATAATTTCTTTCATTTCAGATGCTGAACATCCTAGAAAAACTTGCTCAAAATAAGGGTTATACATACTTGGTAATGGATGGAGGAACACCCATATCAGCTCGGCAACCACTTATTTCTCAGTACAACAATGTGAGTCTTTGAAAAGTACTAACTGGATGATCAAGTATTGTTGGGATATGTTTATAAGGATATATTAGGTTTCATTAACGCTCTTGCCCAGGAAACGCTAAAGAAATTTGGGTCACAACTGTGTGGGAATGCACCCAAAAATTTCTTTTAAATAATAAACAATTTTACACATGCCACTAATAAATTTATAAAATATTTATTTATCTAAATTTGTTTTGTTTTTTAAATACTTGAAACATATAGAGATGTATAAAGAGTGATAATCAGTAAACACGAACAGAGTAAAGCACTCAATGGAACATGTTCCTTGGAGCATCAAACAATTTATGGGGCAACTCATGTCTAAACCCCATGAACTATATCACTGAGGCTTACGGGAAAATTTGACACCTATTGGGCTGTCAAAAAGCCACTAGGTCATAAGGAAACACCCCTAAATGCTATATTTATGGCCTGGCCTATTAAAACACAGCTCAAGTGAACATTGGACCAATGGAATTTATGCTTTTCACGAATAGATCACTGCAAGCATAAAAATGTATTGACATTTACGAGGATGTGGCACAACAACTGAGAAAGGGTTAAATTGCAGGCATAATAATAAGTGGAAAGTTATGAAAAATTAACTTGAAGATAATTCTTCTTCTTCTTGTTCACCGGCTGTGAATTCCGGCGGTAAGTCGCGGTTGTTCGTCCAAAATGGACTTTTGGCTTTTACCTTGACCTGAGTTTTGCGTGTACATCCGTTTTACTGGCTTATTTGTTTGCAGTTCTCGTTCCCCGCCTCTCCGGCAGATGTACTCCGACTTCGGAGGAAGACGTCAAGCCTATTTCTAGGTTGACTGTGGCCATTGTTTTGTGTGGGTCCAGATGTTGCCTCATTTGTGTGGTGTCCTCTTTGACTTTTAACAGGTGTGGCCCCCGGAATGTCGTCCTTAAGGCAGCTCTATGTAGAGTTTTCAGCCCTCAAGGGAAGGCAGGGGCAGATCATGGGCATTCCCCGCCATCCAAGGAGGCTTCCATAAATGCAGAGCCGACACATGATGCTCTGGTTCTGGGCTCACCCAAGGAATCGTCACGTCCTGCCCATGACTGCTTAACCTCACAACCGTGTATTGAGCTTCCCGCACTACAAGGCTGCGCTCTCCGGAGATCAGCGGGGAGCAGCCCGCAGGTCTAGGACGTTTGTGGCCACACAAATAGGTACATTCTTTTTCATCTTACGTTAGACACCTTTAACGTTGTTTCAGCTGTGCCCTTAGCACGACAGAATGGGGAAGCAAAATGTGTCAGGCATGGCTTCACCTGTTTGGTCCCAACACTCGGGCGAGTTGGACTTTTTCCTAATCGGTACGAATTATGATCGTCGGACTCTGAGCTTGCATGTGTGCCGTGGAGTATAACTTTCTCGGACATTATTTCCAAGCCAGCATATGAAAAGTTCCTGCCGTGGTGTACCTCAGCGCGGTGAAGGCAACACTGAGGATTGAGGATGTACGTAGGTAGGATCTTGCTGCAAGAAGTCGCCCACAAGAAATGTTACTCGTCTTGGCTGCGGGTAAATCTCTCAGTCAGGGTTGAGTCTCAGCAGCACAGTTTTCCATTCGCTCCCGAATTTTAACCAAGAGTTGTCATTTGATGGTACATTTAGCAAGCAATTTTTGAGTTTTGTTAGACTTTTCACCCATGCGTTTGGGGGCGGGCTGGTAAGAGCCAGAAAAGACACTACACCTCTGGGGGCCGCCAGCTCCGAGATCCCCTGCCAACTCTGTTAATGCTCATTTGAGACATTATCCGTGGCACACGACGGGGACGTGCAGCAGGAGTCTTGCATGAGGTTCCGTAAAACCAGAACAGTGAAGGACTGGCGCCCGAGTGGGGTACGGAGTATCTCCTTATACACCTTACATCAGACTTAACTTTGCCTCATGCCTGTGACCGAAATCACCGCGCCACACTTGAAGATAATGATAGTAAAAAGAAAATAAAGAAATTCTATTTCATCAGTTTTCTTTTGATCGGCTATATACAGGACCCAAGTATCTACCTCTTCCTGTTGACTACTCGAGTTGGCGGCCTCGGCGTTAACCTGACTGGTGCCGACAGAGTTATCATCTATGACCCCGACTGGAACCCTAGTACCGATGTGCAAGCTCGTGAGCGGGCTTGGAGAATTGGGCAGACTCGCCAGGTGACAATTTACCGCTTGTTGACTTCAGGCACAATTGAGGAGAAAATATATCACAGGTAACAACATCTTTCTTGTTTTTGCTTTTTTTTACTTACAACAGTTGATTAGTTCTTGTGTTCCAAGGATAAATTCCTGGTACACCCTGTCACTCCATGAAAGCCGGTTTTCTGAAAGTGTTTTGTGGACCACCTGACAGCTAACCAATGATAGTAACCTAACCGTTCTAACCGCCGGGTTACGTAACTATCGGGTGCCATGATGTAAAATGTTATTTGATTTAACAGGGTTTTCAAGTTTTGTATCTGTTTGATTCTCATAAAGTAAAGTAAGTAAAGGACCCTTTTCCATGCCTTTAGGTGTATAGGGCATATAGGGCAAGACCTATATGTTTATAGACCAATTGGCGTAAGATGGGTGATGTGGTCAGCATCACGCTGGCCGCCTTTACTTTCCCGGGACTGCACCCGGACCCACTCAAGGCTGGGTTGACCTGGGAGCCAAGGTCATTTTTGAAAAAAGTCCAGCTCCGCCAGGGAGAGAACCCACGACCTTCCGATCCGCGGTGAGCGTCTAGCCGCTCGGCCACGGCCACTCCCGTTTGATTCTCATAACCAAGGTGTTAATCTCACATACTGCTATCCTAGAATTCAAAAACTATTGACCCTACCCAGTTACTTGATTAGACAGGCAATTTTGGCAGTCCACCTGGACTTTTGGACTTTTCAGAGGCCATTAGTGGGCCGTGGCTCACCAGTCGAAGAATACTGTTGTAAAAGATAACAAGGATGAGGTTATTGGGAAGACAAACTCTAACTTGAAGAGCTTCAGTTTACTTACTTTAGCCTAATGGTGCATTTTCTACATGTATGAAGAAGTAAGTGGTTAAGGAGTTTGTATTCCAGTCCCACACATTAGTAATCACTGCTTTTAATCACTGCTAAGATCAGAAGTGAAATCATACTTTTCTGTCTTCTTCTTCTTCTTCTTCTCTAGTCCTGTGTTGCCTTTCAGTGTAAGGTTTTGGAGAAGCCCATGGGTGAGAGCCTAGGTATGTGCTACGTAGGTGCTGGTGTTTATGGCCTCAGATATTCCAACTATCCATCGTTTGCATGGCCAACCTCTGGCTCTGCTTATATTATGTTGAAATAAAAGGGATCTCTGTGGTTCACTGTCTGGTGTTAGTCTTGACACATGACCAAACCATTTTTTCTTCTTCTTCTTTCGTTCGCATGAAATAAATTGTCTATATCTGCAAAGCCGTCTCTTGTATGAATTTCACTGTCTTTTGTAATTCACTAAGCGGCCCGTAAAGTTTGACTTCCACAAGTGTCTCTTTTGGCCAAATGTTTTGCCTGAAAGCGTTGAATATGGGACAGTCTTGAAGGATGTGATCTGTTGTTTCAGGTGCCAGTCCACAAGTACACATGGCCGATTGGCCAATCTTAAATTTGTTGTACATGTGGGAGCGAAGTCTATTGTGCCCTGTTCTAAGGCGAAGGATAATAACTTGCTCTGGTCTGTCCATAATATGGTAATCATCTTGTGCCAGTTTCGGTGGCATTCTGATTGATTTGATCATTCTCTTCTTCTGTTGATAAGAGACTGGTATGTCAGGTTGTTCTTCAGTTGCACCTTCCTTAGCTAGTTGATCAGCTTTTTCGTTTCCGGGAACTCCACAGTGGGAAGGTATCCACTGCATTACTAATTTACAGCGGTTGCCTAGTTCGGATAATAGTGTCCGTATGCTTGGTAATTTTCCAGACTGGAGTGACTGAAGTACTGCTTTTGCATCTGTCAGGAATACCACTGGTTGTGAAAAATACCCTGTATTTAGTAGTTTCTCTACCGCTATCTTGATGGCTTGAACTTCTGCATCATAGTTGTGACAGTGCTTTCCCGTTGGTAATTTGGCTGTATCCCTGGTATTATTAGGATACTCAATGTACACTCCCGCACTTCCGTTTCTGACTGCGCTTTCTGCTGACCCATCTGTGTAAACACGGACCCAAAGGTTCTGCTGGTATTCATCATCAAGTAAACTGAGGGTGGCTGTTTTGCGCTGCACACTGTTTTGTTCTTCCTTGTCAAATACCCCTTTCACTTCAGTCTTGATGTGTATTGGAAACTTATACTCCTCTCTCCAGGGGGTCCGTTCTGGGACAGCATTTAAGGATCTATCAGTTGCAGGTAAATCAGTGGTTTGTCTGCCGAGCCGTTTGGCCTGGTGGATAAAACTACTTCTCTTTAGTCGTCCCAAAGCTAAATTTTTGAATCTTTCATTCATAGGGTGACTGGGCATACTAAGAAACTTTTCTGCTTGTAAAAGCATCTTGGTGTCTCTGCGTTCACTTAGTGCTTGGGTTATCCCCATTTTCTCCATCACAGCTATAGGTGTTGATTTCATACTGCCTGTGGTAACTCTGAGTGCTTGATTTTGCACTTTGTCTAATTCTTGCAATGTGGTTTTTGATGCCGAACTCCATGCTGTTGATCCGTATTCAAGATGTGGTCGAACACTTTGTTGGTAAACTTTTCTAAGTATTTTCCCGCTAGCACCCCATGTGGTTCCACTTAGTTTTCTCAGAATGGCTACCCTCCTTCTGGCTTTGGTTGCTGCCTTGTTGATGTGTTTTCTCCATGTTAATCTATCATCAAACGTTACGCCGAGGTATGTGGGCTCTTTATCCTCTCTCAGGGGTACTCCATTTATGTGCATGGCGCCTGATTTTTGTTTAGGAGAAAGGGTAAAGAGAGTGGTGCTGCATTTGCCTATGTTGATGCTGACACACCATTTGTCGGCCCATTTAGCCATTGCATCTATGGCTCTTTGTAGTAGTCTGGTGGCCACTGTCGCATTTTCATTTGTACACCAGAGTACCAAGTCATCAGCATACATTGCAGCTTTAATTCCATGGGGTAGTTCAGAAAGCAGGTCGTTGATATAGACTAGGAAGAGTGTGGGGGACAGGACACCTCCTTGTGGGACACCATGGCGCAGCAAAACTTTCTTGCTCTTAAGTCCATCTATCTGTACTCGGGATCTTCTGTTATACAAGTATGCTTTGACCCATTTGTACATACTCCCATTCACCCTGCAGTCTCTCAGTTTCTTCAGTAGACCTTCTTTCCAGACCTTGTCAAAGGCTTTCTTCAGATCTATCCATGCCGTTAGCACTAGCTTCTTTTCCTGGAAGGCATCCTCAATTTCTTGTGAAAGGTAAGTTGTCTGGTCTTCTGTGGAGTAGCACTGTCTAAATCCTGCCTGCTGCGGCGTGAAAATGTTTTCACTTTCCAAGTACCATTGGAGTCTAAGGTTGACAATACGTTCCATTGTTTTACAGAGGCAGCTGGTAAGACTGATCGGTCTATAGCTGGAGGCATCAGAACTGTCCTTTCCTGGTTTAAGCAGAGGTATTGTGATTGCTTCTCTCCATATTTGAGGAACTTTGCCACTGGTCCAACAATGATTAAAGATCTGTAGCAGCTTTATTTTGGCAGTTGTTCCAAGGTTCTTGATCATTTCGTTGGTGATACCATCAATTCCAGGTGATTTTCCCATTCTCAGCTTTGATATTGCTAATTCTAACTCGCTGGATGTAAATGCTGCCACCAGTGCCTCGGGAATTATATCTTTTTGTCTTGTATGTTGTTTGTTTTCTTGAACCTCTCGCTGTTTCTCTGGGCTGACATTAATGTTGCTGTCTTCTGCAAAGGAATCTGCAAAGTGGTCAGCTGCCTGTTTTCTTGTTAGGATGGCTCCCTCTTTGCACAGTGCAATATAACCATTTCTCCCTGTATTCTCATCATTAATTTGCTTAATTAACCTCCACAACTTCCTTGTGTCTCTTTCAAAGTTTAGGGACTTTGTCTTTTCCTGCCAGCTTCTCCGTCTAGCCTGCAGTTTGGCTCTTTGAAATTTGGCCTTTGAATGTTGGTAGTTGTTAAACTGCTCTTGACAAGGTCTGGTCTCAGCCTGTTTTCTTTCTGTTTCCATATTGTTGTGCAGTTGCTCCAGATCGCAATTCCAGTACGGTTTGTATTGTTTACGCGCACCTCTTGGAACTGCTTCTAGGGCTGCCTGCAGTATGTGTTTGCTCAACTCTTGGACTACTTTTTCTACGTCATTATCTGTGTTAAGATTTTCCAGCAGAACATTTGTGCGAAGCTGATATAACTTCCAGTCTGCCTTCTTAAAATTCCACCTTGGCAGTGTGCTGCTCTCTCTTACAGACTGGCTTTCGATAGTTAGAAAGACTGGCCGGTGGTCACTGCCTCCTAGTTGCTTCCCAACAGTTCTGGTAACATTCAGTTCCATGTCTGCTGAGTGAAAGGCTAGGTCTGGTGTCGAGGTGGTATGCCATGCTCTAGAGTAGAAGGTTGGTGGGTTGGTTGGCTTATTTACGAGGATGAACCTATTCTCATCCTGCCAGTCCTCTAGTTTCTCTCCTCTCTGGTCCATATGATCGTATCCCCAACTTTGGGAATGGCTATTAAAATCCCCACAAATGATCATTTTTTCATTTATTGGTACAGTATCCAGTGCCTGAGGGCGGTCGCTCGGACAGTAATAGTTGGTCAGATGTAAATCTGTATTTTCTAACTTGAGCTCAAGAGTTTGATACTTAGCACCTTCCATGTATGTTTCGATCCAGCCCGCAAGGATGTTATTTTTGACCAGGGTAAGAATTCCACCTTTTCTCCTGTCTTTGCGGTCAGATCGGAAACACTGGTAGCCTCTGATCTTAAAGGCCATATCTTGTTTGAGATACGTCTCTTGTAGGCAGCATACATGTATCTTCTCTTCGTTCAAGACGTTTTCTAATTCTAATTTCTTGGTATGTACTCCCTCCGCGTTCCAGTGCATTATTTTAAAGCTAGCTGTATTTTCTGCTTTTCTAGTTCTACGGGGCATGAGGGGGAGGCTTCGGGTATTTGAAGCTGGACTCTTTCTTCTTGTCGTAGGCCGGTAAATCGAACCACGTGTACGTGAGTGGGTCTCATGGTGGAAATCAAACTTATTAGCAGATATAGAAATATTCCCTGTTGCGTTTGTGCGTGGCATCCTGATTGCTGTGGTGCGCCTCTTGGCTGGTTGCCTCCGACTTCAGCACCTTGTTATGCTAGAGTAGACTGGGGTCTTACCCGTGGATTCCCATGTTTATAATGGGAGCGTGGCTCCTACGCGGTTACATTATCGGAATTAGGACACGGCCGCCGCCGTGGCTATTTTGTGGAAATAATTCCGTTTTAACACCCCTAAACCACATAATGCTTGTATCCACGAACAAGAAAATATCCATCGTCAATAAATTTGTAAAAATCGCACTCTGTTATCAAGAGAAAAACACCGATTAAGTGAAAATTTTAGAATAAAATCGTGTGTCGCCACAAACACGTCGTCACGCTGCCATTTCTAAACCGGAAGTCCCACCAAACCATTTGATCTGTTGACTCTTGATGTAGTTTAGTACCGGTTCCAAATAGTGACTGCATTAGAAAGTCATTCGTTATCCTCAGGCCAAAATACATCCTTCTGGCACACACCAGCAAAGGTATATAATAATACCACAGTGGTAGTTCTTTCTTAAATCACATACATGATATCTACTTTTAAATCAAGAATATCTGGTCAACTTTCTCTAGTAATAAATATCTTTGTCTCGATATTTGCAGGCAAATTTTCAAACAGTTCTTGACCAACAGAGTTCTGAAGGATCCCAAACAAAGAAGACTGTTTAAATCTCATGATATGTGGGAGTTGTTCTCCTTGGGAAGCCAGGACAATGAGGAGGGGACTGAGACGAGTGCACTTTTTGCTGGAACAGGCTCTGATGTCAGGATTCCCAGAAAACTACGAAAAAACAGGTTTGATGAACTGCAAGAAAAGATTCGGAAGGAAAAGGAAGAAAAAGAGACTAAGGAAGAGGCAGATGGTGCTAAGCATCAGAAAAGAACAAGAGGTGGTCAACTAATAATGGAAGAAGAAGAGGCAGGGGTAGATTTTGATAGTGAAGAGCTGGAGAGAATGAAAGAATTTGCTAGACAACTCAGCAGAAAGATAGAGGCAGAAAAAAAGCAACGTGAGCTGAAAGGCAACGAACACATAGAGGAATCAAAAACAGTTGATAGACAGACAGTTCTGAATAGTAATGATAAAAAAATTGAAGATGGAATACATCAAGACATAGACAAAATTGTAATGGAAAGTAATAAAACGTCAGCTTTTGAATCAGGAAATGTCAATGAAGATACCAATATTACAGCTCAAAAAGAATTACAACAGGGTCAGAAAGATAGTATAAACACAGCTAAAGCACATAATTGGAAACAAAATGGGAAGAAATGGACAATCCCAACATTAAAGAAAGACAGAGCTCCTATTCATGGGGATGAATTGGAAAAAAATAAAATCATAAATGGGAAAGGAAAAAAATTGTCTGCGCCATTATCATCACATGAGAGATCTATCATTGCAAAGAAATCTTTGGCGGGAAAGAATCGTGAACCAGAGCTTAGTAAACACACCAAGAAGAGGAAACATCATGATGCAAGTAAGATGTTATCTTTATATGTTCTTTGTGCATGTTATAAATCTATAAATGCCATAAATCTATTATTAATTTCGTTTGTAAGTTATTTTCTTGGAGTGACTTGGGCTTTTGTTTGAATTTTCTAAATTTTTTAAAACTCACACATGCATTCAAGAAGCTGATTTCATTAAAGGAAAGAAATCTATGACAAGTACATTTCTTATAATACTAATATTATTAATATCACCCCATGCATTTAAAAAGTGTCATTTGTGTGTCAGAATGAGAATTCTCTGCAAATCTGGTTAATTTTCTGATTGCTTTGAAAACTTAACTATAGAAATCAATATCTGGCCATCTAATCAAAATCTGGCATTCTGATCACCTTAGAAATCTTAACCTTGAAATTAGATATCTTGCTTTCTCGGCTAAAACTGACACTCTGATCCCTTTGGAATCTTTACTGTAAACAGTGGGTAGATATAGTTGTCTGACTGTCAGCAAAACCTAGCACTCATCACCTTGGGAACCTTAACTATAGAAATAGTATCACACAAGAAAATCTGACAAACATTGTGAGCATTGCATTCATTACAGTCAGTCAATCAGATACTGTCTCCACAATGAAAATTGGCTGCAAATGATCTCAACACACTTTATCTCTTGTCTTGGTAGTACACTCGGTGCTTTCTTAATATGCTACCCCAAACAGGGGAAATCCACAGGTCACAGGACAGGCTAATATTTCAGGGGGTGGTATTTAGGCTGCATGCAGTCGTGGGACCTAGGTGCATACATTTGTAGGACCTAGGCTGCACTCTCTCGTGGGACATAGGTGTTTTGGGGTTAGGGACAGTTCTAGATGTTTTGTGGTCGTTAAAAGCATCAGAAAGCGGGGAAACCAAGTCTTACCACCCTCTAAAATGCTGGTCTGTCCTGTGACGTCATCTGGGGTAGGATATTATGAAAGAACCGTACACTCTCTCAGACTGCATTTCGTCCATCTTGATTTTGTCCTCCGACTTATATCGTTGTCTACCTCGTGCTCTCTTGTCTTCGACCTTTTCCTCCAGTATGGTTTTTAAAATCATATTATGTCAGTTAATGTAGTCCAGATATTTCATCTGCCTCTTCTTTTTTTCTTTCAGTAATTCTCTTCTTATTCCACAACCGCTGTGCTTGTGAAATACAACCTGTTCTTCTGTATATCCACATTTCCATAAATTCAGTATGATTTTCTAGTCGCCTTCTCATTGTCCAAGTTTCTGCCCCATACAGCAGGATTGAGTATGCATTGCTGTAAAAATCCATATCCAGCAAAAAATCTGACCGGCAGGCAGTTATATCACTAAGGACAATGGTTCTCAACCAGTGGGTCGCAACCCTTTTGTGGATCAAACTAACCTTTCACAAGGGTGGCCTAAGACCATCGGAAAACACATATTTATTGAAGTTATGAAGTAACGACAACAAAAATTGTATGGTTGGGGGTCGCCACAACATGAGGAACTGTATTGAAGGGTCGCGGCATTAGGAAGGTTGAGAACCACTGACTTAGGACATCCTAATTTTAGACCCAGTTGGTTAGTACACTATTACATCGGTTTACTTAAAAAAGAACCCCTTTTTTTTAAACACCTTTGGGCGTATAGGGCACATAATGCTCTACCTATATTTTATAGACCAATAGGCACTCAGTGGGTAATGTGATTATCATCACACCAGCCACCTTTACTTCCTAGGACTTTACCTGTTATCAATTTGAGACTGGGTCAGCCTGGGAGCCAAAGTCATTTTTAAAAACAATTTAGGTTCCATTCAGACGTCAGTATAATGGTTGAAGATTTAAACTTTGTTAGAGTGGAATTCTATCTTTACCCCTGGATATGTCTATGTGAATGTTATGATGGCTAGCATATAATGACCCTATTACCTATTTTTTTTTCCTCTCTGTCTTCTCATTTCTTCTTTTTCTCTGTTATCCCTCTGTCTCTCCTCTCCCCACCCGTGTGTGACATTTGTCAGGAAAAATGTAAACTAAACACATATTTAAAATAGACTATTTTGGCATACAAACAGAAATCTGTCCTCTATACTTTTATCTACATTGCTTGCCTGGCTCTCTAGCATAGTTGGCTAAACCGGATTGTGCGGAGACCGGGTGACGAACTCCTTGTGGTCAGGGTTCAATCCTGTAGGTAGGCAGGAAAGCCACATTTCTCCCAGATTTACAGTATTTACAATGGAATCAAGGCCGAAAGGTTGCGATATCCATAATACCGAGCCTAAGGGTTAACAACTCATGGCTTCTGGATACTAAAACAAACAAACAAACATCTACATTGCTTCTTGTTCATTAAAAAAAATCTGTTTCAATAGATCATTGGCTTGCCTATTATAGTTTAAGACTTCTGAAGCTGTTGATTTCTCTGATGTGTGATAATGATTAACAAATAGGGCACTAGAACAGAAAATAACTATCTGTGAAATGCACTCTCTCTAAAGGTTGCTAACAACATAAGAAAGGACAGGGTTACGATTACCAGCATTTGAGAGAAAGATGGAATATGACGCATCTGAATTATATTCACAGGCAAAAAATTTAATGGTTTGGCCATCTAGTGAAACCAAACTGCATTTGAGATTTTTTTTTACAGTGGAGCATCTGGGAGGAAGGTGAGGAGAAGATGACTAAAGAGATGGATAAATGTTGTAGCTGAAACCTGAAAAAATCCATTAACCAAGCCTCCTGAAAATACAAGATGAATACAAAAAGTCATGACAGTCGGCTACAACTTGACATCAGTGAGATAACAAAAGAAGAAGAGAAGTAATAATAATTTTCATTTATAATGTTGCAGAGTTTGAAGGGGAGAGAATTTCACACCTGGTGAAAAATCGACCCTTGCCAACAAATGCAGTTCCAGAAGATGACCAACAACAGAACAGGCAGACAGGAAGTGAAGGCAGCCATCAAGACGATTATGTTCTACGTCAGTTATTTAAAAAGACAGGTTTGTAAAATATTGTGAATTATATTTTCAAATTTATTTCTGTATCCTTTACAGGATTTGGCAGAACCAACCCCAACAGTTTTGTTTTTTGTTTTTCGCTATTTCTGATTTCTTTGGGCAGATTTACGTTCAGTAGTTTGCCATTGCTTTCTGAATGGTTGGTGCTTAATTCCACTGTTGAGACCAATGCATTATTTATCTCAGAAACCACAACTCTTCTACCTACAAAATCTGTATGCAGTAAAAGAATGGGGACATTTTGGCTCAGAGTTATAACACCCAGCTCTAAATCTAACAGTCTTGGCATTGATCAGCTGTAAATAAACATGGGAGGAAAATTCTGGTAGTTAGTCCACCTCTCGACTTTGGTCTTAATTCATAACTTTAGTTTTGTGTGCACATCTGTTTCACAGATCTAGCTTATTTGTAAGCGGATTGTTGGTCCCTTGCCTCTCCGACTTTGATGGAAACAGCCCTAATTAGTCAGCTCCTATGACATGCTTATCAGGGGAGCAGTGGGTCTGTTCTTTTTTCCCCTACAATGGGACCCTGGAACCACAAGGAGAATCCTTCTTATCTAAGGATATTGACATGGACATCTCAGATTGAGTTGACCATTATAGTTATAAAAATATCTTGGCTGCTTGAAATAAATTTAAAAAAAAAAAATTAAAAAGAGTAGATTGAATAGGCCACAACATCAAAATTAGAACCTACACATAAACATTATTGCATGGTTTTTCTTGTGTCTGTTCATTTGTCTTTTTTTCCTCACTTCTTTATTAGCAGTTTGTAATTTGTCTTCCTGTACTCTGCATTAGTCACTATGTCAAACCATTTTATTCCATCTGCTCTGCACAGTTAACAAACGTTTGTGGTGTATTAGTTAGTCATCCTCCATGTTTTTCATTCATGTAGTACTGACTTGCTATCTCGTAGTCTTTAATGAAGAAAATCGGAGCTTTTGAGCTGACATGCTATAGAAGGATTCTCAGAACACCATGGACAAAGAAGAAAGGAAATACTGACATCCTAAAAGATCTAAACATCCAAGAAGATTGGCTAGTAAACAGCATCCTGTCTCAGAAACTGAAATATTTTGGCCTTATCAAGAGCCATGATGAATTGGAAAAATAGTAGCAGAAGGCATAGTACCAGGAAAGAGGAGCAGGGGATGACCAGCATGAAGATGCGTACAAGATGAAAGTGACACCTTGGGTAGAAAAGTGCAGAAGGCGGGAGATCTTGTGAGAACCCCAAGTTTTTTCTAGGCCCACTATGATGAGAGCAACGTTCTGTAAAGTACCTACTACATGATCATGATGAGTACTGACTTAACATTATCTTCTTCTTTCTTCTTTGCATTTAGTTTCGTAAGCTCAGATCAGACCATCAGGTGGGTTGCCCCTATGTCAGTAGCAGGTCCTTCATGGTTCCCCATAGCTTACTCCGCACACTTTGCTCTTGAGGCCATGTGTCTTTTCGAAGTTGTATGTAGAGTGGGCAGGTCTGCAGAATGTGCTCAGGTGTCTGTGGTCCTTGTTTGACAGACACACTGTGGGGACTGTATAGTCTTTATTGTATGCATGTGGTAGTTGAGCCTGCAGTGTCCTGTCCATAGACGGAAAATTGTTGTATGACTTACAAATTTAGCATATAGACTTAGTATTGGATTTAAACGATTTAAAATTTATTGCTAGGTTTAATTTTTCCACTTATTTCCTAGCACTATGAAATTTCTTCATTGCATTGTGTATTTTTATTGTCACACTCGGTGAGTTATCTTTTCTTTACATTGCTTGTTCTATAGGTGCAGAATTCTACTCCTTAAAGGGGAGCTTCTTCAACAGAGATTGTATTTTCTGTAGCTTTTTTTTTTTCAAATTATATTGGTCCTTTCCTTATGAATATTTTGACTTACTGTAAATTGCAGCCTACAAGTTGACTTGGTGTACAGTTTACCTCAAGATTTGTATGTAACATGTCTGCATTAGGCCTATATAATACAATACAAAACTCTTTTATAGTATGAGAAATTAAAAAGACTTCAAAGTCACCCACTGCATTTTAAATTACAAGAGAGAACAAAAAACAGGCTGAAGCGTCAGAGCCCCAACCACCTTGCTAGAGAACTGTACAGACAGCACCAAGATCTGCTTGAAAGAGATGTAGCTCTGTGCGAAAAACTTAGGCCAGAACTATGGACAAGCAAGCCAGAGAAGGCAAATGTAGTTCTAAAGGTACCAAGGATCACTTCAAAAGATGCCCAGACGGAGACACAACAGAGAACCATGGCTCTTGCTATGCTTGATGAGAAGTATCCAAACACCACTTGGACTCAGGTTTTCACCGACGGCTCTGCTATAGATGCAGCTGAAAGGGGGGTTGTGGAATATACATTAAACAACCTAGCAGTAGAGCAGAAACTCTCTCTCTACCAGCAGGTGACATCTGCACTAACTTCAGAGCTGAGGCAACTGCCCTCCTTTCTGCAGTCCAACATCTCATCACTCAAGAACACAGAAGGCACAAAATTGTTATACTTAGTGACTCATTGTCTGTTCTCCAAGCACTGTCAAGCAAAAAACAAGACAAACTTATTGCAGATCTAAGGACCAACATTGGCTTACTCTCCAAGGAAGCAGAACTGGTCTTGCAGTGGATACCAGCCCACTGTGGTATTCAAGGAAATGAGAGAGCAGATGAGTTGGCAAAAGCTGGGAGTAATCTTCCACAACCTCATCCACCACACAGCTACAAGGAAACCAAAACAGCACTAAAGCAGTCTTTCAAACGGGAGTGGAGAAAGCAGAATAGAGATTACAGACCAGAGAGTGACAGCATAAACAAACTCAACAGGAAAGAACAAACATCAATTTTTAGACTTCAGACTGGACACTGTGGTCTTCGAGCACACCTGTACAAGATTGGCATAAAAGAATCTGCTGCCTGTGATTGTGGAGCAGAAAGACAGACCCCTGAGCACATACTTCAGTACTGCCCTTACCTCTCTCAGCAAATACTGTGGATCTGGCCCAGGGGATCCACATTGCGAGAGAAGCTATGGGGGACCGGTGGCGACCTTAAACGCACAATCCTATTTTTGACCCAGACAGGACTCAATGTGTAGCATGACTGATGTTGAACGCAGAAGAAGAAGAAGAAGGCCTATATATACTTAACACATCTTATACCCTCCGTATAAGTCTGCCCCTTTTTGTGCCGACTTATATGTCTCACTTTATGTTAATAGTTCTGGCTTTCTTTACTATTGGTGAAGACTGAGACACTTTATGTTTGACTGTAGGGCCGTGGCACTATTTATGCTAGCAGAAGGAATTATTATATTTCCATGAACATTTCTAAACTTTATACAGGAATCCATGGTGCCATGAAACATGATAAAATCATGGACAGTGGCCGGCCAGATTATGTCATCGTGGAGGCTGAAGCAGAAAGGGTGGCTCGTGAGGCAGCAGCAGCCTTGAGGCGATCCCGGCAGCAATGTGCTTCTGCTCTAGCTGGTGTGCCGACATGGACAGGCCAGCATGGAGGATTGGTAAAGTGAGTATTGAGCACTGCTTTTTTATTGGGGGTTATGGGTATGCTTCCTGTGCTTGTTTTATACATGAGGCTGTCTTATATCTTCTAGTTCTTTTTCTTCTTAGCCTTCACTGGCTGTAAACTCGGGTGAAGTTCTGTTTGTTCATCCATTCTGAACTTCTTTAGTTCCAGAACTAACAAATTGATTTTACGAACCTGGTTTATTGGTATTGAAACTGTTGGTTCCTCACCGCTTATGCAGATGCACTGTATCTGCAGAGGGAAAATCTCTGATTAGTTGCATTTTAGGACATGCTTCTTAGCGAGGCAATGGGTCTGCCCCCCTCCCTCCCAAATGGGGCCCCTGGAACCCGCATGGGGAGTCTAATATTATATCAGGCTATTCTTCTTTACCTCCTCTTTTACGACTTTCGGAGTTGATTGGAAAATAAGGTCCTGCTTCGTGCTTTTCTGGCTGCGTCGACCAAAGACACATCGTGGTACTGTAGAGTTTCTCTGATGTTATCCTTCCATCTTGTTCTTGGTCTGCCTCTTGCTCTACGTCCCTCTCCTCTTTTGGTATATGCCTTGAATGGTATAGCATCAGAAGGCATTCTCTCCAAGTGAGCAAACCATTTGATTTGCTCTTTCTATGTAATTTAGAATTGCTTCTGTGCCGATTTTATCTTGTATGACCTTATTCCTGATTTTATCTCTTCTGGTCACTCCTACAGCCTTTCTCAGACACCTCATTTCCATGGTTACTAATTTTCTTTTATGTTTTGTTGTGAGTGACCACGTCTGGCACTTATAGCATAGGGTGAGAATGAATATGCTTTTATGAGATGTCTATTTGTGCTGATTGGGATTGCCTTATGCTGTAAGAGGGGAGCTAGCTGTCCCAATACTTGGCCAGCTTTACTGCATCAAATGTCAGTTTCTTTGTCTAATTTACTATCTGCAGTGACTGTTGTTCCAGGATATTTAAATTCAGATGCCTGTTTAATATATGTATGCTCTAATGCTATGTTTAAATCCTGCTTCTTTCTACCTATTGACATTACTTCTGTCTTTTTGATGTTGATTCTCATGTTGTTTGATTTACATTCTTCATTCATGGATGGATGTGAGATGATGATGTAAATTCATGTCTGTATCTGCAATTAAGGTCTGGTCATCAGCAAAGAGTAATTTGTTGATGTTACTATTATTTCCGTTCCTGGGCCTGTCATCTTTGCTTATACTGTCAATGTAGGTGATAAACAGATACATGGTTTAGATGTTCCCTTGTTTATTCTAACTACAGTTATGCAGTCGCTGTATAGGCTTTTGCAAACTTCAATGAGGTTTAGGAAACTAATGTGGTGATTTTCCTTGTCTTCCACATCCGTGTAGAAAACAGAAATACCAGAAGCCTTCTTATATTATTTTTGAAAAATAATTTTGAAAATGTTGCAAACAAAGCAGTCATGTATGAGTTTTTTTTTTTTTAATGTTTCCTAAAGCTAAAGGATCCTTAATATGCATAGCTTCCTCACAGGACATCTTTTTCTTGCTGTATTTGTAATTAGGTATACTGTTCTTGTTCATATAAGTAATGTTCAGTTAAAAGACATACATGAATATTGGTGAGCACTCAACTTAAGTTTTACTGTCTCTCCACAAATGTTATCAAATTTGCAAATATATGAAAGTGGGTAATTAATGTTGTTTAATTAATGATTAATCATTGAATGAAAGTATAATCACTTTCTTCTTCTTCTTCATTTCCACTTTTACTACTTTGGGTGTTTAGGGAGATATAAGGATTGTCTGCTTGCTCTTCTGATTGCCTCGACCATAGACACATGTGCTATTGTTGAGTTTCTCTGATGTTATCTATCCATATTATTCTTGGCCTACCATGTGCTCCACGTCCTTCTCCCATTTAAAGTATCCTGTGTTTGGTGGGGCTTTCTCTAAGTGGGCAAACTCTTTGATTTGCTGTATTTGTATGTAATTTATAATAAGTTCTGTGTTATCTTTTTTTCCCCCTCATGACCTCATTCCTTAATGTTTCTCTTCGGTCACTCCTGCATACCTTTTCAGACGTCTCATTTCCATGATTAGCGACGTCTGTGGCTAAGGCGTTGCGAGTCCGACTCGTAATCCAATGTACCGCGATCGAAACCCACTGCGGGCTGCGGGGATTTTCATCATGGTGTGGGGCCTCGCAGGTCGACCCAGCCTCAAATGGGTACCAGAATGGGCTGTCCTGGGAAAGTAAAGATAGCCGGCGTAATGCTGACCACATTACCCACCGAGTGCTGATGGTCTGTAAAAATATGGGCGCTCTTCCCATGTGCCCGATATGCCTAAAGGTGTGGAGAGGGATCTTTACTTTTTTTTTTTTTACATTTCCATGATTATTACCTTCCTTTTCAGGTTTGCTATTAGTGACCAAGTTTGTCACTGCTAGCATAGAGTGGCATGGATATGTTTTGTATGTTTCTTTGTGCTGATTAGGATTGTCTTATGCTGGTTGAAAAAAAAAAGGGGGGGGGGGGTGTTCTAGCTGTCCTGATACTGCATCTGATGTTAGTTTTTTCTTTCAATTTTCCAACTTCAGTAAATGTTGTTCCCAGATGATTAAACTCAGATGCCATAATCATTGTTGTTGCTAATTTTAAACCCCCTTTTTTTCTTCATATCTTCGCATGAGTTTGTAAATTTGTCAACACATCATAAGAAACAATGCATTATTTCTCTCAGGCCACGCTTTGGTCAGAAGAAGAATAGTCTTCTTGTTGAAAAGTCTGGCAAATCAGAGGCAGCAAGTTCATCTCAGTCCAGTTTAAATGTGAAGGTAAAGTTTTTTGTTTATTTTAACCTAATGATAGAAATATTTTAACTAATGGAAGTAATAAAGTTAAATCTTTATAGAAGAGATGGTACAGACACATTAATCTCATAGGCAAAACTATTAGACAGTTGCCAGTGGAAGAAGGGGAAAGACGTTAGTGGAAAGCTTTAACACTTGAAAAAATAAATAATAAATACCACCAGTGTGGACTTCATTAGGATATCACATTATAGAGAGGAACAGAGGGTCATGAGCAGCAGTTTTCACACCAGGTGAAGCGCAATTTAAAAAAAAAAAGGAACGAACAGATTTAAATTTCAAAGGGTCACATTGGGCGTGCATAGCCCATCTTACGTCCTGGCTGAAGAGCAGGTGTGGTGAGAACGGGAAGGGGGGGGGGGGGTTGACTGTCTGTGCTCCAGGGCCCCACTTGGGGGTACAGGTTGGGGAGAAATCCCTCCCCCCTTTCTTCTTCCCCGAAAAGAAGTGGTGAAAGCTGACTATTTAGAGGTTACCTGAAGTCAGAAGTCTTGGGCTAATAATGCAAATATTTCAACCTAGCTGTAAACCACAACCAACAGCTCATAAAAAGCATTGTTTCCTGTAGTAAACTTAAACGACACAAACAACAATTTACAGTGTGCACCTGGCGAAACATGTGAAAACAATACATTTTGCAGTAAGTTACTAGTACATGCTGTGTTCTTTTGTGGCTATTTTGTCCTTTTAATTATTTTTTTCACTTTTTCTGTTTGTTCAGTAAATTCATATTGAATATGTAATTTTTTATGTTTCTATCAACAGGCAGCACAAAAAGAAACGGGAGAGAAACTTTTTGATGGCAGCATATCCGGCAACGTATCATTGAACCCTAAAAATAACTCTTTGACCTCCAGTGACCTTCTTAATAAAATTAGAGCTCGGAAACGACTGTCTGCATTGGCAACTGACCCAGAAGAAGATGATGAGTTTCTTAGGCCAGACAGACCACAGACAGTTGAGCCAAAAGATGAGGAACTCTTACAGGATATCAGAAATTATATTGCTTTCATGGCTACAAATGATGGTGAAGCCACTACTCAAGAAATTGTTCTAAACTTTGGAAAGCGACTTCCAAAATCAGATGCCCCTAAATTTAAAGCTATGCTAAATCAAGTGTGTGAATTCCATAATGGTGTGTGGAGGTTAAAGTCTGAATTCAGGTAACAAATATCTCATATGTTTCATCCAGCCTACCAAGCATGTCATATGTGACAGCTAAGTCAGGTTGGCATAGTAGTGGCTACCTCATCCTGAAGAAAATCTTGGCTTCAAATTTTGGTCCGTCATTAACAGGTGTTCAGAAATCATATACTTCAGATGGTGGAGAGCCCTCCGCACTCACAATAAAACAAAGCACAGATCTTTGTTTTACATAAGCATGTTGTTGTTGTTGTTCATCCATCTGTCATCATCATCGTCATCAGGTGCCTTGCCGACTGGCGTGGGCGATCATGCCTCTCCATAATCCGCGATCTCCTGCAGCATGTATCAGTTCGTGTGCCGACACACCTCCATGCCATGCAACAAGACTGTCAAGCATCTTCTCTCGTTGTCTTCCTCTATCCCTCCTTCCACAGATCTTTCCAGTGGTCACAACATGTTCTATTTTCCCTCTTCTCATAACATGGCCGAAAAATGATGACTGTCTCCTTCTGATGTCAGTGATAAGTGATCCATCTGTATCTAAACTTAATAATGATCAGTGATTGTGAGTATGAAGATGACTGATAAGTTCAGTGTAAGTGCTGAAAGTTCAGACACACACACGGCGCTCATAGAAAGAACTAGAAAGATAGAAGGACACACTAGACAACATAAAAATCAAAAGCTATAGTTACTGTATCGGGAATCAAACCTATCAACTCTAAATAGCGCGTGTGTTCGCTGTGGAAACAAGTGTACTAAGATACATGACCAACTAGGCACCACATACATACACACACACATGCTTACATACATACATACCTACATACATACATACATACATATATTCATACATGCATACATACATACATACCTACATACATACATACCTACATACATACCTACATACCTACCTACATACATACATACATACATACATACATACATACATACATACATACATACATACATACATACATACATACATACATACATACATTCATACATGCACACATGCACACATGCACACATACATAAATACATAAATACATACATACATACATACATACATACATACATACATACATACATACATACATACATACATACATACATACATACATACATACATACATACATACATACATACATACATACATACATACATACATACATACATACACACATACATGCACATAATACATACATCCATACATGTGTATGTACATACTTATCTATTTAGTTGGCACCCTTCGATCTTTCCAGATAAGAATTTTAAAATGTACTATGGGGAGATGCAATGGTGAGTGTGACTAGCAAGATCCGTCTGCTTTAAGAAAAGTCCTTAGAGCGTGGGATTTCAGGACCATTGTTGCCATCACATCTATTTAGTCTGCTTCTTCTCATGCCCAGCTCTCAACCTTTCTGTAATCTTTTTTTTCTTTACTTCCACTCCCTTCCTGATTTTTCTTTTCCATGCAGCACGGCCCATGGCATCTTTTTCCCATGAATCTACATCGGTACATGTATCATTGATGTCCCACTTGTACACATCTTTTTGTTTTGTTTTTTCTTCTTCCCATCTGTAATTCACTATAGAGGATGTCCTCAGAGACTCAGTCATCCTTCATTCTCCAAATCTGACCCAGCACATGTGAACCTTCGGAGACAGAGCATTTGGAAAACTGGTGATACTTGCTCTTTCCAGTACTTCATTGTGTGTGATGATCTTGTCTTGCCACTTAATGCCAAGTATTCTTCTTAGGCATCACACGTGAAAGCTGTTTCTCAGGGTGTAAATAAGTTGACGAAGTTTCACTGCCATAAAAGAGTCCATAAGGTTTTGTAGACTAAATGCTAGGAATATATATGTAATACATTCAGAATAATTCTCTGCCTGTTATTTTGTAATTCAGCATAATTGATTGTGTAACTAATTAAATGTGCTGCATGTTTTACATGTATTAAGAAAAAGGCTGATTTTGGTCTTCTAGTCAATAATGATAAAAGGATTTAGTGAAAATACTGAATGGGTAGATTTACATT